TCATAACCGTTCAATCGATGTTCATGAAGAAGTTGAAGACATGGGTAAACAAACTCCTTGCACGTTTTTGAAGAGTACGTAATTGCTTGAATCGCACTCTTGGAGTCACTGCAGATTGTATATGTCCCGACTGGTAATGTTGTGATTATTTGGAGAGCTTGATATAAGGCATATAATTCAGCTGTGAAAACAGATAGTTGGTTTGGTAACCGCCATCCCTGCTTGAGATGGTATTCCGGTATCCATACAGCGCTAGTGACCGAGGGTACGTTGTTCTTGATGATGCGAGATCCATCTGTATAAATCGCTGTGGTATTTGGGTAGCAATTTTTCATTGTTGAAAGATCCTGAAGCTTCTTCTCTTCTTCTTGATAGTAGGTGCAGTTTGCATGAAGTTCCTGAAGCTAGTAGGTGGCGGCCTCATCGCTCTCGAACTTCTTGTTGTTGTAGGGGATACGAGGCACACCCAATATCCCCCTTACATTGATCACATCGCACACTAATATTTTTACTATTTCGGACACCAGATTTGTCTGTTTCGTATATGTATAATTGTTCAATATTAAAACCACAATAGAATGCTCTTAACAGTTACAATTTTCAACTTAACAGCCATATTGACAACATCGCACACTAATATTTTTACCACTTCGGGCACCAGCTTTCGATGTTTCGCATATGTGTACGTGTTCCACATTAAAACGACAATATAATGCTATTAACAATTAAAATCTTCTATTTAACAGGCATATAGTTATTAAATAAAGTTTAGTGATGTAATAGACATAATCCGGAGTTGGTAAGGACGCCGCCCGCCAGCGTAAACACAACACACCCGAATGCCCACAAACACGATACAACGCACAAAACACAACACTTCTGTCAGTTTTTAGATAAACTACTTTTATATTTATTATGTGAGAGTTATACTTGTATAAAATGATAACTATTATAGGTAAGCGCCTAATATTTAATATTAATCAATAAAAAAGAAGTCAGAAGCCACACGCCTGTCTGTACATGTCTTTTGTGTAAAAGTATTTTGGGCGCTCATGAACTTGTGCGCTAGCTGGCGTTCACAACTGTTCTCGCCTACAAGCATTAGAATTAAACAAACGAATTTATTTTTTCATTTATATACAAGAAGAGAAGGCTACCCTTGAGTCTGTAATATTCATCTGATCACTGGTCTCCCATTTGGTCCTCATTGCTTTATCTTACTATTATTGAATGTCAATAACCGTATTATGCAATTTCAATTTCTTCTATTTCTTTCTTTATTATGCACCCCATACCCATCCCGTGGGTGGTGGTGTAAAGGATTACAGAGGCACATAATCGGTTCAGGAACTGAACCCTCTAGTTCGTTTAGCTAAGCAAATAACAATGTTTGACGCTAGTTACAAAATTATTAATGTTGTATACACATGTACACACACACTCATACACACACACACTCATACACACACACACACACACATATATATATATATATATATATATATATATATATATATATATATATATATATATATATATATATATATATATATATATATATATATATATATATATATATATATATATATATATATATATATATATATATATATATATATATATATATATATATATATATATATATATATATATATATATATATATATATATATATATATATATATATATATATATATATAATTACACCAGTATAATCTAATAATATATACTGGTCTAATAAAATAATTAGACCAGTTAATACTCTCACTCGTTGTGTTAGGATATGTTAGCTTGATAAAACTGACTGTTCATTGTTGAGAAATGTATTAACACAATATTTTCTGACCAGGGGGAGAAAGATACTGGCAGTATGGGGCGTTAAAGTTTATTGAAGATTAAATTCTGCAGAACATGTAAATATATAAAGTTCAAATATAAAGTAAGTAATTATATAAAGTTTATATTAAACACAGTTTATATTATAGACTTATAACAAAGTTGATATTATTAAACTTAATATTGAACATGTGAATATATAAAGTTTCAAATATAATTTAAGGAATATATAACGTGTATATTAAAATATATAAAGTAAATATATAAAGTAAGAATTAACAGTAACAATTCCAAGTCCGAGGACTAGATTTAACTTAAAAGGTACACCCGTAGTAAGTATGAGACCTTAGCCTATACTAATGGAAATAAAGGTTAACTGGAGAAGGCCGAGGCAAATGTGTAGACTACAAAGTAGGGAGACCACATAACACGTACTAGCAAGACCTAGACTAATGGATGGTGCAAAGCACCTACTTAGCTGCGGACAGCGGGACACTTGGGGACCGGCGCTGCACCCCCCTTCCCACATGCAGTGGGGAGACAATCGGGACAACTGTGCAAAGCATGACGGGGGTACAAAAGCAGCCGCTTGCAAAGGGGCGGAGGGTGGGGTTTTGCGAGGGCAGCGGCGAGGGCAGGCGGAGTGAGGCAGAGCCCCATTGTGCGCCCGTATTTATACGGCCCCAAACTGCCCGCGCAACGCCGCGGGACGCGCTGCGCAATTGTTTCTTTCTCCCCCGCCAGAAAAATCCCCGCTTGCTATCAAGCAGTGACCATTTTCTGACCAGGGGGAGAAAGATACTGGCAGTATGGGGCGTTAAAGTTTATTGAAGATTAAATTCTGCAGAACATGTAAATATATAAAGTTCAAATATAAAGTAAGTAATTATATAAAGTTTATATTAAACACGGTTTATATTATAAACTTATAACAAAGTTGATATTATTAAACTTAATATTGAACATGTGAATATATAAAGTTTCAAATATAATTTAAGGAATATATAACGTGTATATTAAAATATATAAAGTAAATATATAAAGTAAGAATTAACAGTAACAATTCCAAGTCCGAGGACTAGATTTAACTTAAAAGGTACACCCGTAGTAAGTATGAGACCTTAGCCTATAGTGACATGGAAACTAATTCTGCAGAAACCTAAAGGTTAACTGGTACTAGAATTAAGGCCGAGTGCAAATGTGTAGTAATTATATAACACTAGGATATAACAGGCAGGACACAAAGAATAACTAATAAGTGAGAGACCACATAACACGTAATGTACCCGGCCAAGAGGCCGTAAAAGACCTAATGGATAAGGAGAAGGGGGTGTGACTACAAGTAGGGCTTACTAGCACCTAGACTGGGCAAAGTATTAGCTGCGGACAGCGGGACACTTGGGGACCGGCGCTGCACCCCCACCGCAGGCCAGCGACCAAATATATATATAGTATCTTAGTGTCTGTGTTTATTTGTCACCATACTTTACGTAACAATAGAAACGTTACATTGGTGACCCCAGAGATACTTTCGACGATACCTAGCCACGATGGACTACAACATGGACTCTCACTGGACCTCTACTGTTTGCTGTGATGGAACACTGCCAATACCCTCGCCACAGCTATGATTTTCATCGCGTCCATCTCTGCATTTTCATCTACTACGGCTTGCTGCTCCACGATCGTTACTCACTCATCTGACAGCCTCATCAATGATTACATCATGTTGAATCTACAGCTTGTCCTGCCGACTCTCCGTCGCTGCCAGGGCACTGCTTGTCCTACGCCCACGACAGCTGCTCTGTCATCAGATTCATCTACACGTTCACTGCATTTTGATACTCGGCCGACTCAAGCCCTTTGCGCAGTACAGGACTTACAGCTTGCGTTTCCGACTCTTCGTCGCCTCCAGGACAATTCAGCTCTAGCAGTGATTACCTCGTTGTCCTAACTACGTGCCTACATTACCTCCTATTGTCCTGGTGCCCGAGCCCATCCGCCCCGGATCTAAATGCTCCACCAGCGACCCAAGGACGCAACAATTATGCACATTCTTCTCTCCTGCTACACCGAGCTTGTCCACACACTGCCTACATCTTTTGGTACCAGACTACAATTTCCACAGTCAACAATGTAGTACTCGGCGTGTACAGTCCTAATCAACCCAAGACGCTACAGCTTCGACACAGAGCAGACAGCAGACTACGACCGCATCGAGCCGCCACGCTCTCCCACGTAGAGCTCCACGACTCCGGCCTCACTCAGCTCTCTGCTCTGCTCCAGGCTTCGTCTCAAACGTCTGCGACACTGCTAAATCCAGAGACACATCCGCCGACTACGCAGTTCACTTTTCGACCACAATTACCAGCAGCACCGCCACCTACGACGACGGACGATCCTGTGCAACCTCCCACCCTACGACCCCAGTTAGATGACATCAGCGAAGAGGAGGAAGTTAACTTTGATGGTTATGTAACGCGAGCAGGGCGTACAATTCACCGACCAGCAAAGTTCCTTGATCAAGTATTTTTCCTTTCATCCCCTGGGAGGGGGAGTTCTGTAGCGAGTAGATTATCCCAATAATATACTCGCTCCAAATGCTTTGTTAATATTCCTGTCAACCTTTAGAGATGAATGAGGTGAGGCGTTGCCCGGGCAACACGGTGAGGTGTTGCTCGAGCATATAAGCAGCAGAATAGCAAACATTAACCAGAGTCTACTTTCAAGTGTGGTCTAGAGCAGACACTTGCGAGATACTGTACCGACGCTCAGTGCGCTCAACTCACACCAAAGTATCACCTGTGTACTTCTGTATATTCGACCAAATATATATATAGTATCTTAGTGTCTGTGTTTATTTGTCACCATACTTTACGTAACAATAGAAACGTTACACTCTCAATAAATGTTATGTACTCTCGCAACCCAATGTACGTTCTTGTATATAAATAAATAGATTTCAACTGTAAGGGGATATGGTTTGCACCTTGTTATTCAAATAATGGATAAATAATTCTAATAATGGAAGCGCTAATTATATGAACAAGTGCCATGTATTTATTCAGACGAGAACAACAGCGAACACAAACCAGCGCATATACGAACGGAATGGTTTGTATGTACAAACTTCTCAGTGAACGAAGTTGTTTCTAGCCCGGTATCCGAAATTGCAGTATACGACTTGACCAGTCCCCACCTCCACTACCTCCTTGGGGTCAGCTCCACCACCTTCCTGGGGTCACCTCCACCACCTCCCTGGGGTCATCGCTGCCCGTCATACCTAAACATAACGTCAAGATGCTCGCCGTCAACAAATCAAGAAAACAAAGCAGGAGTTTAATTCTATATATGCAAAGACGTTTTAAGAAAAAGGTAATTCATCATTAAAAAGTTGATGCTGAGGGTTGATGCTAATCTCGGGAGGAACTAAAGTATTACTCAAATATAACAAGATTGAAGTTACCTAACACAATTTGTTTATCATATTCATGTTTATATTGAAGGTATAACAATGGCCTTGGTTCTTGCTTGTTGGTATTTGATTCCCAGTGGTCCAAGTTGTTGGGTACCTTTCCCTCCATCCTCATAACCCTTCCAAATGCTGTATAGTCACACTGGCTTAGCACTTTCTCCTGATAATTACCTTGCCTTACCTCGATCCAAAGCATTTACGGAACATGCATGTACAAACTACCATGTGTGTGTCTAATAGACGTGACTACAAATAATTGTTTACCTAATCCCTTCAGAAACAATCCCATCAATGTGTTGAGGTGGTGACAAAAGCACTGATATAGAGTCAAGCACAAAGTTAAAGAATTGGCATACATGTGGCACACTGTCAGCAACAGATTGCTCAAGCAGATTGAATGTGTACACAACATGGTTCATAGTCATCTAAAGCATTTTTTATTACATATTAATGCCTGGATATCATTAAACTTTCCACTCATGTTACTTGTATTGTTGTAAGATTGACCTCAATAGTGTGAAATATCCAAAATGATACTCTTTCATGAAGGAAAATAAACCCTAAAGGTCCTTAGCAGTATGGCCATGCATGTTAAGAAACTTTGTGATATGTACCATTGGTCTGTCCTTAACAATATACAGAAATGTCAGTGCTACTTTGTTAAAATTAACAATATCTGGAGTAGAATCCAATGATACAGTAGTGAAAAATAATGAGCTTTGATCTCAGTGATGATTACTTTGAAAAGTTTGTCCTATTATTTTAATCTCTTTATTATATGTAGTAGATGATACATGTACTGTATATGCAAAACAGAACCTCTACCATGCTTTTACAAGTGAGTGACTAGAAATGGTTCAAACTGAGCCAGTATTTCCATTGTCCCAAGAAAACTGCCATTTGAAGGAGAGTTTAAAATCTCATAATGTTCATGGAATGCTGATCTATGTTCAGCTAAAAATCTGATGGTTACAATGACTTTCTGGGACAGATCTTGCATACAGAAACATTGATGATATTGTTACGTGGAGAGAGGGGTTCCACGAGTTCTTCTATCCCCGAGCTCGGTCTGAGGCTATTGGAATACATTTTAATACAGCTTCCTCCGGTGTTTCCTCTGTTCCTTTTCCTTTGCCTGCTGGGCTGTAGATATGTGATAACAGGCCATGCTTCATTCTGTTCTGAAAAACAAAAAATAACACTCCAAATGATAGTGTAAAATAAGTGATAATGTAAATATATTAACCAGATCATGCATGCATATAGTAGTCGTAACTTGCAGGGGCAAACTGGATCATTAACCCCTCGACTGCGCCGGCCAACAAATGCCATTTTGAGAGTTGTACGTTTTTTTAATTAGGCTATATTTTAATGTTTTTTAATTTTTCATTACTCCTTGCGTTTTGAAATAAAAATAGTTTAGTTTGGAAACATTTTGACACTAACTTTACCTGAACATTTATAAAAAGCAACAAAAATATATCCTTGATAATTGCACTAAGAAGTTTTTGCCAAAAACAGATGCTCAGTGCAAGGGGTTAAATCATCCCAGGAATTTTTCAGTCAGGTCAGCCCACATGTATCACATAACAATAGGGACTGCCTCAGTATACCACATGGACATAGGGACTGCCTCCATGTATCATATACACATAGGGACTGCTTCCATGTACCACATGCACAAAGGGACACTATTTCTGGAAGGAACTTCTTGGTGACTCCCTGAAGCTAATTTGCAGGGAATCTTCTTTTTCCTACTGGGAACCAGAGCCAGAAGACCTGGCTTCCTCACAGAGGTGCAGAGAGCAGGGGGACTATTATCATCACCCTCACTGGGAAAGTACTCTATCCAAAAAGTTGGCAATACTTTACACACAACTTCAAGATTCGTAGAAACAAAGTATCAAACTGCCAAATGACTACAAACTATTCAGGTGAAACAAATGAATCACTTGAAGTTAGTACAATACCGATAGCCACCACCAGGCAGCCTGGAGCCCTGGCCAATGCTTGCCCTGCCACTCAGTCCTTTTGCTAATGTGAATGGTCCACTTGTAGAGTGGTCCCTGGGTCAGTCTTTTATGGTGGGGCTCACTGGTTCTAATCTAAGTGCCAGCCATCCATTGTCCTACAGGGGGGGGAGTCCATTTGCTTGAGTATTCTCTTTCAGTACATTATCTTCTTTCATACACACACACACACACCCAAACATACCAGCGATACAAAAATGCGAGAAACAACTACACGTCAGATAGGAGAGAGGCAGAGGGGAACTTTGAGAACTATAGCAGACAAATGCAAACCAGATCCAGGCCTTTAATATAAATTCATTTAAAGCAAGCTGCAGGTAAAGGATAATATTCAGAGGTTGCAATTGGGGGACATACACGGAAAATGAAAGGGAAATGTTGGAAACATTAAACAAAAAGTTCCAAAGTGTGTTTGTACAAAATGAGATCTTCAGGGAACCAGATACAATAAGAATTCCAAAGAGCAACATAGAGCACATAGAGGTGTCTAGAGAAGCAGTGAAACAAATGCTCTTGGAGCAAAGTAAGAGCAAAGCAGTTGGCCCAGATGGAATTTCACCATGGGATCTGAGAGAATGTGCACCTGAGCTCAGCGTACCACTTCAGCTGATTTTTTCAGACATCCCTGTGTACAGGAGTCATAGCAGATGTGTGGAAAAAGCTAACATAGTTCCAATCTACAAAAGTGGCAACCAAGAAGACTCCTCAATTATAGACCTGTATCATTGAAAAGTGTAATAGTCAAAATATTGGAAAAATAATTAAAACTTAATGGGTAGAACACCTTGAGAGAAATGATATAATATCAGTATGGTTTCGATCTGAAAGATCCCGTGTATCGAATTTACTCAGTTTTTATGATCGAGCCACAGATTTTACAGGAAAGGGATGGTTGGGTTGGCTGCATCTATCTGGACCTAAAAAAGGCTTTCGACAGAGTTCCACATAAGAGGTTGTTTTGGAAAATGTTGGAGGGGTGACAGGTAAGCTGCTAACTTGTATGAAAATATTTCTGATTGATAGAAAAATTAGGGCAGTAATAAGAGAAAGTGTATCGGACTAGAGAAATGTCACAAGCGGAGTATCACAGGATTCAGTTCTTGCACCGGTATCTTGAGATGATTTCGGGGCTTTTTTTTTTTAGTGTCCCCACGGCCCGGTCCTCGACCAGGCCTCCACCCCCAGGAAGCAGCCCGTGATAGATGACTAACACCCAGGTACCTGTTTTACTGCTAGGTAACAGGGGCATAGGGTGAAAGAAACTCTGCCCATTGTTTCTCGCCGGCGCCTGGGATCGAACCCAGGACCACAGGATCACAAGCCCAGCGTGCTGTCCGCTCGGCCAACCGGCCGGCCGACTGGTAATGTTCATTGTCTACACAAACGATCTACCAGATGGAATACGGAATTATATGAATATGTTTGCTGATGATGCTAAGATAATAGGAAGGGGTAAGTAACTTAGATGATTGTATTACCCTTCAAGAAGACCTGGACAAAATAAGTATATGGAGCACCACTTAGCAAATGGAATTTAATGTAAATAAATGCCATGTTATGGAATGTGGATTAGAAGAACATAGACCTAACACAACCTATAAATTATGTGGAAAATCTTTAAAGACTTCTGATAAAGAAAGAGATCGAGGGGTGATTCTAGATAGAAAGCTATCACCTGAGGACCCCATAAAGAACGTTGTGCAAGGAGCCTATGCCATGCTTTCTAACTTCAGAATTGCTTTTAAATACATGGATGGCAAAATACCAAAGAAATTGTTCATGACTTTTGATAGACCAAAGCTGGAATATGCAGCAGTTGTGTGGTGCCCATATCTTAAGAAGCACAAAAACAAACTGGAAAAGGTGCAAAAACAAGCTACTAAGTGGCTCTCAGAACTGAAAGGCAAGAGCTATGAGGAGAGGTTAGAGACATTAAATATGACAAAACTAGAAAATAGAAGAAAAAGAGAGATGATCACTACGTACAAAATAGTAACCGGAATTGATAAAATTGATAGGGAAGATTTCCTGAGACCCGGAACTTCAAGAACAAGAGGTCATAGAGTTAAACTAACTAAACAAAGACGCCGAAGAGAAATAAGAAAATTCACTTTTGTAAACAGAGTGGTAGATGGTTGGAACAAGTTACGAGAGAAGGTGGTGGAGGCGAAAACCATCAGTAGTTTCAAAGCATTATATGACAAAGAGTGCTGGGAGGACGGGACACCACGAGTGTAACTCATCCTGTAACTACACTTAGGTAATTACACGCACGCACGCGTGCGCGTTTGTGTCCTGGCAAGTTTGTTTGGACCTGGCCAAGATAGAATTACCATCTTGGTCAACTGCTTTGTTCCTACTAGCTCCTTGAACATTTTTTCCACTTCGTCTCTAGACACCTTTGTGTGCTCTATGTTGTTCTCTGGAAATCTTAATGTGTCTGGTTCTCTGAAAAGTGAATTTTGCACAAACACACTTTGGAATTATTTGTTTAATGTTTCACACATTTTCTTTTCATTCTTCTTTAATCTGTTTCCCATTTTCAACTAATTGAATTTTAATGAATTTATATAGAATAGGCCTTGTTCTGTTTTACATTTGTCCGCTACCTCCCTCAAAATTTCTTTCTGCCTTGTAGTTGTTTCACACATCTTTGTATTGCTGGCATATTTGAGGGTTTGGCCTCTTCCTCTATTGATTCATTTTCATGTCTTTTGGTTTCTGGCCCACTTGCAATTTCTGTTCAACCAAACCCGTTTTCTAGTTCTGCATCTCTGTTTTGGTATAAATGTTTTTGTACCTTTATCGTGTATTTCACAAAACTTGGCATATATCTAATTTACTTCCTTGCTCAACAGTAAGTCTTTCCTATAAAATCCATTAAGAACTTTCTAAGCTCCCTAATGTGTCCTCTCCAGAAATCAGGTTTTCAACTGCTTAACTTTCCTTATTATCTTCTAGATTATAATGCATTGCATACTTTATTTCCAAAAGGACATGGTCACTTTTGTCCAAAGGGGGAAGGTACTGAATGTCAAATATCTCTTCTATTTTCAAGGTTTATCAAATTCAGCATTGAAGAAACATTCCCTTCCATCATTCTCGTAGCTTGTTTAACACATTAATGCTGTAGATCAACATTGCTTTCCACCTGTTTACCTCTGTGGATGCTTTGTTGGTTGACTACTTTCCTTGGTCCCTTTTCCAAAACTGGTTTTCCTTTGTCTGCAGTGTCATCATAGGTAGATTGTCCACCCTCAGGCCTTTAGTGTTCGTATGTTTACGGTGTTGGCTGCCATTTTCTTCGCCATGACGTTGGTGGATTTTCAGGCTCAGGTTTTGGAGTTTTGACATAATTCTGGTGGCCCACTGATTGGTCCGGAGAGCACTGGCTCAGAGAGCACTGTATAAACATCAGAGGTCTGCGGTTGTTCAACGTCCTCCCAGCGGCTATAAGAAATATTGCCGGGACAACCGTGAACATCTTCAAGAGAAAACTGGACTGTTTTCTAAGAGAAGTTCTGGATCAGCCGGGCTGTGGTGGGTATGTGGCCCTGCGGGCCGCTCCAAGCAACAGCCTAGTAGACCAAATCACAAGGCGAGCCTGGCCTCGGGCCGGGTTTGGGGAGTAGAAGAACTCCCAGAACCCCATCAAGCAGGTCCATGTTGTTAGTCCCTGATGGTCTTGTGTGATGTTGGGCAGGGTTCCTAGCCCTTGGTCTTGTCTTCAGAGTAGTACTTGCCATCTCCTCCTCACTGGTAAGTGTCTGGTCTTCCTGTTCTTTGTGGTTAGCTTTAGAGAGTCACTAAAAGGCTTGTCCCCCATAAAATCAGCATTGAATGTAGTGGAATGCTTTTTTCTAATAGAGCTCCAGAGGCTCCTTGGTTCCATCCCTCCCTCCCTACAAGGTTTGTTGGTTCATTGTCCATCAGCTCTGGACTGAGTGGCAGGGTAAATGTGAGCTGCAGTTCTGGGCCACCTGGTGGCAGCTGTAGGTACAATACTAGTTTTGAATGATTAATTTATTTTGCCTGAATGGCTTGTAGAGTCGTTTGGCTGTTTCAATGCTTCATTTTCTATGAACCCTGCAGTTCACTGCAAAGCTTCGCTGACTTTTTGGATGCTTTCCTGGTGAGGGGGTGACAGAAAAGGCCACCTCTGCACCTCTGTGAGGGACTCGCATTCTGACTCCAGTTTTCAGTAGGCTAAACAACTCTTGCAACTGATGTGACCTGGTAGCAGGAAGCCATTTCAGTGAGATAGTGTCAGAAAGCCACCGGGGCTCTACCAGAAAGAGGCATTTAATTACATTCAATGGTGGTTATTTTTATTACTCAAATTGCTTAAAAATGGTCACTAAATTTCTCAGAATCCGACCCTAAGGCCTAAGGTCATCTTTCTTCATCTTATCTCACAATGCTTCTTACTTTAAATGAATAATTATTCATACTGTATATTAATTTATTTCAGGAAAAGGTTCCCCAAATTACAAACATTGCTCGAGCACAGGAGTACTTTGACAGGGCCTATCCTCCCGTGTATGGGCCGCGGTGGCCCTCAATTAGGCTCGCTCTGTTGTCAAAACAGAAATATGTAGCGGCTGTAAACAACTTTGCCAACCATGAAAATACAATAGAAAAGTTTCAGGTAAGATCAGAATTTTAAGTCCTTTAAATAATGTTGATATAGTGCAGGTTAAAAATAAATTTGCTCTAGCATTGATGCAATATATATCTTGCATGTACTATACATTGCAAATGCTATAGGTAATGCATTAATCCTCAGTAGGCAAATTTTTTACCAAATTTCTGCAAAGTTATTCAATAAAGTAGTAGTTGAAGCCTTGAGTACTATGTAGCCTAATGTATTTTAATTTTTTATTGTATTTAGGTACAAGAGTTCTTATATTTTTGTAAAGCCACTAGCATGCATAGTGTAAACTTGTGCAGTTCCAATGGCACAGTGGTGAAACACTCGCCCGGCACTTCGCAAGCGCCTTGGCCTGGGTTTGTATCCTGGTCGGGGTGGATTGACTGGGCACCAATCCTTTACTGTAGCTTCTGTTCATCCAGCAGTGAATAGGTACCTGGTTGTTAACACTTTTGTTCCATAGGGACGGAGATGGTGTCCACAAATAACTCTGCAGATGTTCCTTAGATACGTAGGTGACGTCCAAAATTTTGATATTTGTTAAAATTCAAGTTTTTATCCGATCTTTATGGGACTGGTTTTAAAATGTGCGCCAATGTCTTCCCATTCTATTGCAAACTGGGGTGAGAAACTTGAAAAGAGTAAATACATTTGTGAGCAGGTGTTGCAGGTGTGCCAATGGGGGGCTTGCTCATGGGTAGCGCTTAGTCAACTTTTGGTTTTGCTGCAGGTGGGGCACGCCGGGCTTTTGGACCTTATATGCATATACCCCTGTAGGGAATTCTATAGCGAACAAATAGATACCAAAATGAAAGACGTAGGACGAGAATTGAGGTGACAAAAGTTAAAAAAGTATACAAATTTTATTGCTCTTGCGCACTCCCGGGTAATGCTCGGCTGATTTCTGGGTTTGGTGCGGGTGGCACATCGGGCATTTGGACCTTATATGCATATACTGTATGTGATAAAACTGAAAAAAGTATACACATTTCAGTGTTGCTGCGCTCTCGCGGGAAACACTCGGGCCACCATGGGGTAGTCTGGCGCGCGCGCGCCCAAAATGCAAAAGTGTTAAATGATTTGGCGGGTTGTATTCTGGGGAAAAAATTAGGATTACGGACCTGCCCGAAATGCTATGGGTTAGTGGCTTTACAAGAATGTAAGAACTCTTGTATTAAAAAAAATAAAGTTACCTTTTTAATGTTATCACATTTCCACTATAAGTAAAAAATGCTAGGGAGTAGGAGTTGTATAATAGTTATGTGACTATATTGGTGGCATAATAGTCATGTGAAATATATTATAAATGTTTATTATATACATTTTGCAACTTTCTTCCTATTGTCTAGGAACTTGGAGCTGTGGATATCGGGCATAAGTGCACAATGATTGCTGCTCAAATGAGAGCTAATAAAAAAGAGTGGGATCAGCAGATATCTCAGGAACATGACGAGGACACCTTTCAAGATCACCCCGAGATTGAAGAATCAAAATTAATAAGACCTTCTCTAATAGAGGTAATTAAGAACTTTTTTTATTCTGTACATTTTAAAAATAAATGGGTTATTTGAATATGTAGAATAATTGCTTACGAATGTCAAAGAAAGACCCAATATTTATGTAAGTGTACAGAATTAAAAATTCCATTTTTGGATGTAACCTACATCCTTTCTCAAGGTGCTTTATACATTGATTGATTGTATGAAGATTAAGCCACCCATGAGGTGGCACAGACAGCTTATCTATGCAGCGGCCGGTTCCTGTTTCCTCTGGGGACGTTGTACTTTTGCGGGGGTTTTCTTTTCTTTTTGTTATTTGCCTGGTGGGGGGTCTGTCTTGTGGGGCTATATGTCCATTTCTATTGTGTTGGTGGACCTCAGCTAGGCCCTCGTGATTGTACACGTTGCAGGGGTTACAGTGTTTTGTTCTCCCCTTGTTAGCTTTGGGTCTCAACCGGTTAGTAACATCTTGCCTGGGCTTCCTGTAGCAGTCAGCCTACGGGTCCTAGAAAACCCTGTTGGGGCTTGGTAGACCTATGGATGTGTCTTCCGAATTCCAGCTCGCCTCGTGCAAGTTTGAAGGTTACTGTGTGCCCTTGTCTCAAGGTGACAGTCACCGCTTGTGCCTCCGTCATGCCGCCTGTTGGATCACCGACACCTTTGACCCAGAGTCTTGCGAGACATGCTCCTCGCTTGTTCTCCAATTTTCCCATTCTGATGACATTGATATTAGGGTACAGGCAGCATCTGCGTTGCATGCTAGGTTTAGGTTGATTGCTTACCCAGATGCCCTGAGGTTGCCCCGTTTTGGTTATAGGGACCCGGACTTGGGGGAGTTAGTCGCTTCGACTTTGGATCAGTCCACGCTCCCTAATCCTTCCCCTGTTGTTCGTTCTGTTCCCCTTGTTCCCTGCTTCCGGCTCCCAAACATTGGAGGGTTTCGGAGTCAGAGCGGGGTTTAGATGGCAATGAGACTCGGGCAGCTTCGGGGGCTGCCCCTTTCAGGTTAGAGACAGAGGCATTCGAGACAGTTCCTCCTGCCTAAGCTTCTGGGCCCCCCCCCCCCCACACCTTCTTTTCTGCCTTTTCCCTGTCCTGGTGAACCGGAGGAAGTCGCATCTGGTTCCGTTCTAGGTTCGGACCTGGCTGGGTCTTGTTTGGGACTCGGATCGCTTCCTGCTTGATACCTGCTTGATGGGGTTCTGGGAGTTCTTCTACTCCCCAAACTTGAGAGTTTGGTCCACCAGGCTGTTGCTTGGAGTGGCCCACAGGCCCACATACCCATCACAGCCCGGTTGGTCTGGGCTGTGGAGGGTATGCTTCCATGTGGTGGGTGGCTTCCATGTCTCTCCCTCCGCAGGTGTTGCTGCGACTACGGTCCTGCTTTCAGCTGTTTCTGGGTGGGGTCCTGGGTCACTCAGCTGTTGCTCGAGCAGTTGTGCGGGAGTCTGAACTTCGCCGTGCTGCTGGTTTACCCGCTGGGTCACATTTGGCTTCGCCTCTGTCCTGCTTCCTTCGGGGATACACTTTTCCCTCTTGTGCGGTCGCTGGATTTAGCCTCTGTGGGTCTTGCATCGATTGCTGCGTCGTTGGCTTCCTCTTCGGGTTTTTCTGAGTTCAGTGCCTTTGCACCTACCAGAGCCCTCGCTCGATGTGGTCATGGACAAGTCGTCTCTCGGCTGGGGCTTTGTGACCAGTGCTCACCAGGCCAGCCAGGGGCGGTGGGGTCCGTCCTTCCATTGGGTTTTCATCACGGTGTGAGAGTTTGCAGCGGTTTGGCTGTCGCTTTGAAGGGTTCGGATAGTGGTGCCTTCTTCGTTCAGGGCACCACTATCCGGCTCCATTTGGACTGTTCTCCGGTGGTTCATTGCCTGAACCACGGGGGTTCCCTTCGGTTCTTGCCTCTTTAGGACTAGTCGCTTTGAGTGGCTCGTCTGCTAGTTTCTCTGGGTTTGGCTTTCCACATGGCTCATATCCGGGAGTGTCCAAATGTGAACCGAGATGGCCTGTCTCGGTTCACCTCTTCGCATCAGCGTGGTCGCGGTGTCTCACCAATATATGGCGCCCTTCCCTGACCACAGTGTATTGGCGGTGGATGCCTTTTGGCAGGGCTGGTCGAGGTTGAATTACCTATACCTCTTCGCCCCAGTTCAGCTGTTGCTTCGTGTTCTTGCTCAGTTGGAGTCTTACCACAGGAGAGTCATCCTGGTGGCCGACCCAGCCTTGATTTCAGGCGCTGCTTGCTCGGTGTCCAAACCCGGGGCATTTTCCGTGGCTCCGCTTTTTCCAGCAGGTCGGACCACTCCGGGACATGACTGGTTCGGTCTTCTCCTCTGCTCTTTGCATCTGGTCTTTTTGATGCGGGTTTATCACCACTTGTATGGTGATCAGGTGGCTTTGTTGAAGGTCTCCCACCTGAGAGCTTCATCTCAGCAAGAGTATGACGTTTCCTGGCATTCTTTCCGCCACTTTCTTTCATCGAGGTTGTTTTCTATTTATAATCGTTGTCTTGTCCTTTCTTTCTTGACTTTTTCAGGACCGTCATTTAATGGCTAATACTGTTGCCTCATATTGTGCAGTTCTAGCAGAGCCACTCTAGCTTGCATTCAAGGTAGATGTCACTTCTGCCTCGTTCAGTAAGCTTTCTCGTGCTTTGTTTTACCTTCGGTCTGCTCATGCGCTGCCTGAGCCATCCATGTCAGAGACAAGGTACTCCCCTATCTATCTTCTCCTTGGTTTGTGGTGGCCCCTTCGGTTCAAGATTGTTTTTCCAAGGCTCTCTTTCTGTTGGCATTGGCCTCTGGGGGTCAGGTTGAAACCCCTGCGCCAGAGCACAGGGGTTTCAGCTCGTTCAGTTCTAGTCAGCGGTTTGTTCGTTTGCAGCCTTCTTTTCTGGCAAAGAATGAGACGGCTGCTTTCCAGAATGGTTTTTGGGTCAATGATGCTTGGTTGGTCAGGCCGGGAGTGCATTATATGTTGTGTCCAGTTGTGAAACAATGGAATTGAAACAATTGAGTGCATTATATGTTGTGTCCAGTTGTGAAACAATGGAATTGAAACAATTGGCATTGAAACATTGTGGCTCTTCGCCGTTACCTGTGCGCCTTAGTTTCTGTGGCTAGGGATGCGCTTTGGGTTGATATGGTTTCCCTTGTTCTCTATTCCCAGGTACGGTCTCCCAGGTTGTCCGCAGGTTATTAAGTCTATCCAGCCTGTGGTCAATCATCGTGCCCATGAAGGTTGGAAGTTTGCTGCTTTGGCTGCCGTTTTCGGCAACATGTCTTGGGCTGATTTTCGGGCACGGGGATTTTGGAGGTCGAACAAGGTCCTGGTTGCCTGTTATTTGGTCAACATTAATGGTCCTGGGCGTTAGTGTGTTGCTTGGGGTCGCAGGTTGCAGCCAGTTGTCTTGACATCGAGTTGAGGAGTGAGCGGTGGCTGCCTCCCGGGTAAGTCCCTCTTTTCATTATCTTTGGTTAGGTAGCTCCAGGGGCTTCCCACAGAAAACCAGCGTTGAATGTAATGAAACGCCATTTTCTGGGTGGGCCCCGGAGGCTCCTTGGCATCCTCCCTCCCTCCAGTCGGCGGTTTTTGCATTGTTTCAATGCCTAGCTTCAGAATTGGGGTTATCTTGAGATTATTTTGGTATCATGCGGCGCTGGCGGAGCCGCTCCAGCTAGCGTTCGGGGTGGACGTCACATCCGCCCTGTTCTGTAAGATTTCTCGTGCTATGTTTTACCTCCGGCCTGCTCATGCGCTGCCTGAGCCGTCCTGGTCCTTGGACAGGGTGCTCTCCTATCTTTCCTCTCCTTGGTTTGTGGTGGCCCCTTTGGTTCAAGATTGTTTTTCCAAGGCTTTGTTTTTGTTGGCAATGGCCTCTGGAGGTCGGGTAGGGGAGCTTCATGTTCTCCTCCGGCACAGGGGTTTTTGCTCTTTTAGTCCTGGGGGTAGGTTTGTCCATTTGCAGCCTTCTCCGTCTTTTCTGGCGAAGAACGAGACGGCTGCTTTCCGGATGGTTCCATGGGTCATTGATGCTTGGTTGGTTTGGCCGGGGGTGCATCGTGTGTTGTGTCCGGTTGCAGCTCTTCGCTGTTACCTGTGCACCTCAGCTGGGGTGGCTGGGGATGCGCTCTGGGTTGATCGGGTTTCCTTTCTTCCCTGTTCCAGGGCTCGGGTCTCCCAGGTTGTCCACAGGGTTATTAAGTCTAGCCAGCCTGCGGTCTATCCTCGCGCTCTTGACGTTTGGAACTTTGCAGCTTTGGCTGCCGTGTTTGGTAACATGCCTTGGGCTCATATTGGGGCGCATGGATTTTAGAAGTCGAACAGGGTCCTGACTGCCCATTATTTGGTGAACGTGCCTGCTCCTCGGCATTCTTGTGTTGCTTTGGGTCGCAGGTTGCAGCCAGTTGTCTCAACTTCGCATTGAGGAGTTTGTGACTGCTGTTTCCCGGGTAAGTCCCTATTTTCCTTCTCTTTGGGTATGTAGCTCCAGGGAGCCATAGGGGCTCCCCACAGAAAACCAGCGTTGAATGTAATGAAACGCCATTTTCTGGGTGAACCCCAGAGGTTCCCTGGCAACCCTCCCTCCCATCCGGTTGGCATATTTTTTTTTTTTTTTTTCACGTTAGTTGAAGCCTAGTTTTCGAACTGAAGGCAGCCAGTGCGGTGAGGTCCGAGGCCTCCCCGTCCCTTCTCGGGGAGGGGAGGGCTGTGCGGATGACTGGTACAGCAGTAAATTGTGATAATTACTAGTTGCTTGTTTCCTTGGGATTGTAGGGAGTTTCTACCTCTGTTCGGTTTTTTGTTTTAGTTTCTTACCATGTGGGGTTTGTTTTGTTATGCCTACCTTTCTGGGTGCCTAACCCCGGTCGATGGCAGATAAGGAAAACCCTCAACCACAGGGAGGTTTTCCAGGGCCATTGCTCCCTGAAACCTCTCTGAAGGAGCCAGGTTCTGGCGCTGGTCCCTGGTAGGTCTGAACTCAATAGCTAATGTCCTGGTCTAATATAACATACATTAGCCCGATAAGCTCCGGGGAGCCTCCGGGGCTCACCCAGAAAATGTTTTGTGGCGCTTACATTTCTGGGTGCCTGTCCCGATCAATGGCAGATATAGAATGCTCCATATCACATGTGCATTTCTGTGGGCCATTGCTCCTCATGCCTCTGTGAGGGTGGGCCGGGTTTTGGCTCGTGGTCCCCAGTAGGCCTAGAACTCCACCCACATCGACTGATGCAAAATAGCTAGGGTATCCATATCAGTCATGGATAGCTCCGGGGAGCCTCCGGGACTCACCCAGAAAATGGCGTTTCATTACATTCAACACTTTTTTTTGTGTGTGTGTGTGTGTAATTACCTAAGTGTAGTTACAGGATGAAAGCTACGCTCGTGGTGTCCCGTCTTCCCAGCACTCTTTGTCATATAACGCTTTGAAACTACTGACGGTCTTGGCCTCCACCACCTTCTCACTTAACTTGTTCCAACCGTCTACCACTCTATTTGCGAAGGTGAATTTTCTTATATTTCTTCGGCATCTGTGTTTAGCTAGTTTAAATCTATGACCTCTTGTTCTTGAAGTTCCAGGTCTCAGGAAGTCTTCCCTGTCGATTTTATCAATTCCTGTTACTATTTTGTACGTAGTGATCATATCACCTCTTTTTCTTCTGTCTTCTAGTTTTGGCATATTTAATGCTTCTAACCTCTCTTCGTAGCTCTTGCCCTTCAGTTCTGGGAGCCACTTAGTAGCATGTCTTTGCACCTTTTCCAGTTTGTTGATGTGCTTCTTAAGATATGGGCACCACACAACAGCTGCATATTCTAGCTTTGGCCTAACAAAAGTCATGAACAATTTCTTTAGTATATCGCCATCCATGTATTTAAATGCAATTCGGAAGTTAGAAAGCATTGCATAGGCTCCTTGCACAATATTCTTTATGTGGTCCTCAGGTGATAGTTTTCTATCTAGAACCACTCCTAGATCTCTTTCTTTATCAGAATTCTTTAAAGATTTCTCACATAATATATAGGTTGTGTGGGGTCTATGTTCTCCTATTCCACATTCCATAACATGACATTTATTAACATTAAATTCCATTTGCCAAGTGGTGCTCCATATACTTATTTTGTCCAGGTCTTCTTGAAGGGCATGACAGTCATCTAAATTTCTTATCCTTCCTATTATCTTAGCATCATCAGCAAACATGTTCATATAATTCTGTATACCAACTGGTAGATCATTTATGTAGACAATAAACATCACTGGTGCAAGAACTGAACCCTGTGGTACTCCACTTGTGACATTTCTCCATTCCGATACATTGCCTCTGATTACTGCCCTCATTTTTCTATCAGTCAGAAAATTTATCATCCATCAACAAGAAGCTTACCTGTCACCCCTCCAATATTTTCCAGTTTCCAGAACAACCTCTTATGTGGAACTCTGTCGAAAGCCTTTTTTAGGTCCAGATAGATGCAGTCAACCCAACCATCTCTTTCCTGTAATATCTCTGTGGCTCGATCATAGAAACTGAGTAAATTCGATACACAGGATCTTCCAGATCGAAAACCATACTGTCTGTCTGATATTATATCATTTCTCTCCAGGTGTTCTACCCATTTAGTTTTGATTAGTTTTTCCAATACTTTCACTATTACACTTGTGTGTGTGTGTGTAAAGAATTAATCTTTCCCTCCCAATAATGGAAGGCTCATTTTCAGTGTCATGCTTTCTATACTCATCTGAAAAAACTCAAATTAATATGACAGAGTTTGTTATGACAAATTGTTTACTTCAGCTAGATGATGATGAGTTGGCTGCACAAGCAAAAGCTGAATCTATTAAACGCTACCCAGAAGAGTATCGGGCTAGGGCTTTGGCAAAAGACTATAATCCTGGAACAATGGAATTAGACCACACCAGTCGAATTATTCTCCCTTCTGAAGTTGAATCCCGGGGAGTCAATGTCATGATGGATTATGTGCCAGCAACCAAACTAAAGGTAAGATTCATATCACATATCACTATATCATGCAATGTGATTATTTTAAATTATGATTATTATGATTGGTTTTAAGAAATTATGTTACTACCTGTTAATGATTTTGAGGATCAGTGTCTCTGCAGCCAGATCTCTGACCAGGCCTCCTGGTTGCTGTTGTGACCAACCAGGCTCCTCGATGCAGCTGCTCGCAGCCTGATAAATGAGTCACAGCCTGGTTGTTCAAGTATCGTTTGAAGGCGCTTGTCGAGCTCTCTTTTGAACACTGCCAGAGATCGGCTAGTTATGCACTGTATGTGTAAGGGGGAAAGTGTTGAAAAGTCTTGGGCCTTTGATGTTCAACAAGTTCTCTTTCAGCACGCCAATTGCACCTCTGCTTCTCAGTGGGGCTATTTTGCAAATCCTGCCATGCCTTCTGGTCTCGTGTGGTGGTGTTATTTCTGTTTGCAGATTTGGAACCATTCTTTCTAATAGTTTCCAAGTGTTAATTATTATATATATCTCCTGCCTGTTCTCTAGGGAATACATGTTTAGAATTTTTAGGTTGTCCCAGTAATTTGGATGTTTTATTGAGTGAATTATAACAGTAAAAAGATCTTTGCATGCTCTCCGGTATGCAAAGTGGCCTGCATGCAAAGCCAGTAATTTCTCCAGCTTTGAATGGGGCTGTTATTGTGCAACAATATTCTACTAGAGAGTGCTAATGGCTTAAAAAATATCATCACTGGCATGGCATCTCTTGTTTGGAAGGGTCTTGTTACTAATCAGTCATTTTTCTTACAGTTGTGACAGCAACTTTGTTGTGTTCTTTAAAAGTACAGTACAACCTTGATTCAACACACCCCGATTCAACACACCCTGATTCAACAAATCTCCGGCTAGTTCACACACTTTTCAAGCCATTGCTCCTCGTGCCTCTCTAGAGGGGGCCAGGTTCTGGCCCATGGTCCCCGGTAGGCAAGAACTCCATGCATTGACTGATGCCAGAAAGTTTTACATGTCCATTCAGCCTGGATAGCTCCGAGAAGTCTCCGGGACTCACCCAGAAAATAGCATTTCATTACATTCAACGCTGGTTTTTTGCTTCCTCATTCTGCATTCAGCAAGTACTAATTATTTTTATCTATTTTAGGGACTGGAAAACTGGGTAGAAGAGACAGATGTCTTCGTTGATGCCAGCCACGGAGACCAGGAGATTGGTTTGAAAACAGAAAAGGAAGAAGAGCCAATAAACTTTCCATCAGCACTGAAGATTTATGCCTTTAGTAAAGGAGACATATCTAATTTTCCAAAAGTATGTTTTGTTAAAAATATTGAATATGTAATGTGCCACACACTAAAAAAACACTCACTCAAACACCTGGTGTCAGATGGGGTATGGGCTGAGCACTATTGTATGCATGAACCTTTCAGTTATGGTACACATAAGGTGCATAATTAGCCGACCTCTCACCGTGTTCAAAAGAGAACTCGACAAGCACGTTCAAAGGATACCTGATCAACCAGGCTGTGACTCGTATGTCAGGCTGCAAACAGCGAGCCAGACATATGAGTCGGCAACTAGGAGGCCCGATTAGAGACCGGGCCGTGGGGACACTGATCCCTGAAACCGTCAACAGGTAGATGTTGTATCTGTTTGCTATAAGAAAAAACAATAAAAAAGCTGTACTCATCCAAAATAATTTTTTAGCTTTGAAGACATAGGTGGAGTGGTTGAGTTAGTGATTTTACTGGCGAGTTGGGGAATAAAGAGTGTGATAGATATGGGCAGTCCCCCAACTACAGATGGATTATGTTCTGAAAATGTGATCCTAAAGCATTTCCATAGAATGCTGAACCAGATTTTCCAAAAGCTCAATGCTATAAGTGGGGGATGTGTTCCCAGACCATCAAAAAATCTTCACAAAATCAATATTTCTGGGGGGAGCCCCTTCGACTTCCCGGAGCTTACTAGGCTGATATATTAATGTCAGACTTTGGCATCAGTCATGTGTGTGGAGTTCTATGGGCCTCCCAGGGACCACGAGCCAGAACCTGGCCCCCTCAGAAAGGCATGGGGGAGCAATGACCTATAGAAACCCCCGTGTGGTTGGAAGCCACAGGCTGAGGTTGTGTGCTCTGGCTCCGGTGGTTGTTTCAGCACTGTATCTAGTGTGTGGTGACTGTCTTCAAGGTGGTGCGTGAGCCAGGAGTGGTTCTCCAGTACTCGGGCTGCATGCGCCTAGGGTTTCCTTCCCCAGGTGCCCAGTAAGTACTGCCCTTGGGGCTTGGGGTTTTCTCTCACTTTCTCCATTTGCTGCAGGTGGTTAGCTGGGCCTCTAGAGTGTATATGTTTTTAGTCCTGTAGAGCATTCTATTGCGAACACATTGATACAAAATTGAAAAATCTAGGATGAGAATTAAGGTGACAAAGTTGAAAAGAGTATACACTTTTCATTAAGTATTAAGTGTTGTTTTCAGTATTTGGGCGTTCCGCGCGCTCCCGCGGAACGCCCAAAACCACTTGGACAGGTCGAGCGATTGACGTTTGCCCACGAAAGTGTTAAGGCTAGTCAGCCTGCGGTTTATCCCCGTGCCCATGACGTTCATAAGTTCGCTGCTCTTGCTGCCTTCTTTGGCAATGTGTCTTGGGCTGACATTCGGGCACAGGGTTTTTGGAGGTCGAACAGGGTCCTGGCTGCTCGTTACCTAGTGAACGTCCCTGGGACGTCGGACCTGTGTCGCTTTGGGTCGGCGGTTGCAGCCAGTTGTCTCGACTTCAAGTTGAGGGGTGAGCAGTTACCGCCTCCCGAGTAAATCCCTATCCTTCATCTGTGGGTAGTTAGTTTTGGGGAGCCGAAGGGGCTTCCCCCAGAAAACCAACGTTGAATGTAATGAAACGCCATTTTCTGGGTGAAACCTGGAGGCTCCCCAGCATCCCTCCCTCCCACCGGTCGGTGGTTTTTCGCGTGTTTTGACATCTAGCCTAAGAACTGGGGGGTGGATAGCCGACATGAAGGGTCTGGAGCTCCCCCTTTCCCCTCCCAGGGAGGGGGGAGCTGCGCAGACTGCGGCACGGTGACGTGTAACGTCATGATCATTTGCTGTTTATTTTAGGGGACGTCTATCCACTTGTTCGGCTTTTGGTAGCAATATTTTCACCAGAATAGGTTTGTTTTGGGATGCTTACCTTTCTGGGTGCCTGACCCGCTTGATGGCAGACATAGAATGCTTCCAACCACACGAGGGTTTCTATAGGCTATTGCTCCCCATGCCTCTCTGAGGTGGCCAGGTTCTGGCTCATGGTTCCCGGTAGGCCCACAGAACTCTATACACATGACTGATGCCAAAGTCTGACATTAGCATATCAGCCTAGTAAGCTCCGGGGAGTCTCCAGGTCTCATCCAGAAAATGACGTTTCATTACATTCAACGCTGTTTCTTTGGGACATATAAAAATCACAGCATATTATTTACTTTGATGGAATTGACCAGCTTATCAAAGTGTTCTGTTTGTGAGGAGTGACGTGAAAATGCATGGGCGGTAGGTGGCAATACACGAGCAGCGGAGGTTGGCCCAAGGGTTGGGCCATGCCAACCCTTGGCGTGGCTTATGTCGTACCCGCACACTTCAATGGTGGGTGGTTACTTTGGTGTTGCAGGTATTCTTGGGGGGGCTCTATGGGTCCCCCAGGAGTTCCTCTATGAATGCCTCTTTGCCCCCTGCGCTTTTTTGTGATGTGGGTCTGGTGCAGTTGCATCTCAGGTTCCCACTCATTCAGCTGCTTTGGCGGCTGATGACCATCGAACTCAAGGTCATTTGGTTTCGGTCTTGCGCTTCTTCAGTCTTCTGGAGCTGTCCTCGGACTGGCTTTTGGAGGATGGGAGGGCATTGAGTGAAAGGCCTTCAGCTGGGGTTCTGGTTTGGTCTGCTGCGGCGGCGTTTGTCCTGCTGAAGCTGTTTGCGCCGATGCTCTGGGAGGTTGTTTCTATGTTTTTCATCTATTGCCTGGTGTGTCGGCAAGCCATCCTGGCCTTCTCTTTGGATTGAGCCTAGGCCCTGGCTTTGTAATCTTCGTCTCCATTCTGTCTTCTGTTATTTCCGGAGGACTGTGTTGCGCAGTTTTTGTCAGCAGCTTCCACCAGTTGCCGCCACATTTCAGAGTTGTTGGTGCTCTGGTGGGTGGGGGGGGGGTTGTTCCCGGACCTCTAGGAGTGGTCGTGCCATGGCTCAGGTTTTGTTGGGTCGAGGTGGGCCTTTGGTATCCGTTTCCAAGCCGTTGTTTTCTCCTGGGCCTTCTTCGTCTAGTCGGCGTGGTGGTCGCTCTGTGTGGAAGTCGGTTTCTCGAAGGTTGCATTGGCCCTTTCGTGGGTTGCCCCATTGACGGGGCAATGAGGGGAGGGAGGCTGGCTCTGTTTGTCCATGCTTGGTCCCACTATTCGTGGGATTTTCAGGTCGTCTCTTCTGGCCTTTGGTGGCATTGGGTGGCTCTTCCTCCTGTAGGGGGTTCGGGGCTAGTAGGTCAAGGTGATTTATTTTATTAATTTTTTTTTATCCCAAAAATCCATTTAGCTAAGCAAGTTACAGTCTTGATGAGCTGGTTACAAAATTCAACAATAGGCTCAAGACCGAACACAAGTACAGTCTCCAAGCTAAGAACTGACGTGTGTGGAGAACTAGTGTCACAATTGATATGTTTATCCTGCACACCGCACCCTAGAAATGGATCTTTTTTTTTAAATGTTTGAGCATTATTGGGCAGCTGTCTTAAAACAGATTCAGTTTAGCAGCTGCATGCCATATAATTAATTACCATTTAGTTTCATTTTCCTAAGATGACTGCATTGAACAGCAGTTGTAATTTACTTCACTAATCCCAAAACAAATGAGCACTGCCATTCTCTTGTTTATCTTTCCAGCCAAAGATGGATCATCAGATGAAGGTGATGGACTACTATGCTCTAGATGGAGCATCCCTGCTACCAGTACTGGCTCTTGACCTACAACCTGGCGACCGCGTGCTTGACCTGTGTGCTGCACCGGGAGGAAAAACACTAATTGCTCTGCAAAGCTTACTGCCAGGTTTGTTATGATTTATAACTACAGTGTAACCTTATTACAACAGGTTGCATTACAACAGAACCCCTTGGTAGACTAGAAAGAATTGGCTAGCAACATAAAACACAAGTCTTGTTTTAATAGAACAGGCTTCTTCCAGTTGCTGCCCGATGTCTGACTTGTTGGTTCTCCAGGGGTCCCAGGTGGGTCCTTCCTGGAAGGGTCGTGCCAGGGCTCGTGGTTCCACTCGTTTGGGTTAGCCACAGGTGCCAGTTTCGGAGCCTTTGCCCCCTTCAGTCCCAGCTGTGCCTGGTTGGCATGGTGTTCGCTCTGTGCGCAGGTCGGGTTCTCCTGAGAGGCATCGGCCCCTTTCGCGGTTCGCCCCATTGATGCCCCTTTTGGTATAGATGGGGCGAAAGTGCGCAGCTCCTCCCTCCAGGGGAGGGGGGAGCTGCGCAGACGTGAGGCTCGGCTCGTGTGACGTCGTGCTTGTTTACTCATTTTCATTTGGGGAGTTCTGTCCTCTCGTTTGTCTATATTTGTTGTTTTTAACCAGAATAAGGGTTTGTTTTGGGGTGCATACTTTTCTGGGTGCCTGTCCCAGTTGATGGCAGATATAGAATGCTCCAAATTACATTCTATAGGCCACTGCTCCTCGTGCCTCTGTGAGGGGGGGCCAGGTTCTGGCTCGTTGTCCCCGGTAGGCCTAGAACTCTACCCACATCGAATGATGCAAAAGTTAGGAATATCCTTATCAGCCTGGATAGCTCTGGGGAACCTCCTGAATTCACCCAGAAAATGGCATTTCATTACATTCAATGTTGTTTTTTTCTCAAGACTTTTAAGAGCCTGAAACTTTGTTTTTATCAAATTAATCACTTGTTTCATGTTTTATATTATTTCTGAGATCTGATTTGTCAACATGAGCATATTTCACCTCTGTATCTCTGTATATCCTAAAAATAGGAATAATTTTTCTTGTTCAAGGACTTGTGGTGAGCAATGACATGTTTGAAAGCCGTATTAATAGACTCCATAGGGTGCTGAAGCAGTATATTCCTCCTGGATTTTCAGACTTGGACAGAATTTCATTAGTTACAACGGTATGTACATTTTTAATTAAATAATATTTCTTGATTATCCTTTTTTGTTTTCTATAGAAATGTATTAATTCCATAAGACTTTGTGCCATTTAAATGAGAAAGTTACAACTTTATCACAATGACCAGATGTAAAATTTCAAATTTCATCATTATTTTGTATCTTTTATCTGTGTATGCATTCAGGTTTCCCCCCTAATCAAGCATGTTTCCTCTCTTAATTGCTTATGGCTTTTTGTGCAAACCACACATATGAATTCATAAAAGTAATTCTATAAATATATTCCTCCTACATGCATTTTGTGAATAAGTAAAATGCAACTGGATCCATTGACCAGGATGATCATGACAGGGGTCAACATCCTGTATCGGTGCCACAGGGTACCTTTAAAACATCCCTGCGTGATCACAATGGTGCTAAGAAAGCAACAGAGAATATTCAGTACAATGTGAGGTGACCACCAAGGAGTACTACTATACATAACTACCAGTTTATCCACTAAGCTATCTCCGCTGACCACAACCAGATGGTAACACCATTACCACAAAAGGGTTTCCTAGCTAGGCATGGTGGCAGGTGGGGACTGGTTCACTTTAGTGACATTGATTTTGTGTAAGCTGTTTTCTCTTGTGTTTCTCTGGGTCATGCTTATATTGTTCTAATACATTTCATGTGCGTACCAGTCACATTGTGTGTATCCATGGAGTCTGCACACTCCCCAGCTTTTAGTAGAGTTTTGCTTGGGCCCATCAGTTATGGGAAGATCTCCTGAGTTATTTAATTTTCTGTTCTTTGTAAATGAGGGCAGGACTATTGGCATTCAAGGTTAAGCTAATGTATTTATAATCTTTCCAGTGTTCTGACATCAATTTTTGGGTTACTTTTTCATTTGGGTATCAAATTGTGCGCACTTTAAAGGCAATCATTTTAAAACCACTCCCAGATTGATCGGATAAAATTTAAATTTTTAACAAATATTTTAATAATCGGACACCAATGGCGTCACCAACTCGGATGCAGGAGAAAAAATCAGACGCCAGAGGCGTTAGAAGAGTACGAAAGTGTTAATTGGTGCAGTTTATAGGTATTTAATTGGTGCACAGAGAGTAATCACACTAAGGTGATGTATCAATGAGAAAATCTATAGGAGCCGTGGTGAGATGTGTGTGGGGGAACACCCACCACATAGGTTTGAATCCTCATCATGGCTCCTAAGTTTTTTCTCATTTAATTGGTGCATTTATGTGTTCAGATTAAAGTACTCACCTGTACAATACTTAATTTAGTGTTAGTATAGGCTTCAAAAAGACTGTTAAAGTGAGAAATATGTTTAGTGGCATTTATCCTTACATACCCATAAGTATAATAAGCAAAACTTACTAACCCTAATATTGCACAATTATTCACAAAATATACTGTAAATGTAGTTGTTTAATTCAAATATTGTATAAGAGCTTTACATTGCAGGGTGATGGGTGTGTTATTAGAGAAAGGGAGGCCTATGATAAGGTATTGGTGGATGCTCCCTGCCTCACGGACCGCTTCTCTCTCAAGGAGAATGACAACAGCATCTTTAAATCCTCCAGAACAAAGGAGAGACTCAAGTTACCAGAACTACAGAGTCAGCTGCTTGTGTATGTAGAGAAAATGTTGTGATGTCATTGTTATTAAATAGTTACTACTATCCACTTCTCAATTTCACATGATGTGAGGCCTTGTCTTGAAAACAAAAGAGAACTATGGACAAGAGCTTAACATAAAAGAAAAATATACATCCATCTTTTCATCATATCCTCCATTCAAAAAACCAATAATGATAAAATATTATTATGCAATCAGTATGTAAAGTGTGAATAATGGAGTTCGAATCTTGATTTGTTGAAGTGTGGTGCTTCTTGATCTCATTGGAGTTGTGTGAGAGATATGTTGAATGGATGAGTTGTCTTGTTTAATATCTCACATTCTGCTTCCAATATCCTTTGGCCCAACATGAGAAAATTTGCATGTCTTACCTGAATTCTGAGAGATTATTTTACTTATTAGATTAGATTATTTGGATTAAGTGAGGCAGCATCTGACAAAAAATGTATTATGGTTGATGTGGGTAAGTTATGAAACAAAAATGAGAACATGTGAACTAATACAAATATTTATGATACAGGTCAGCTCTTAAGGCAGTACGACCTGGTGGAACTGTCGTGTATTCAACTTGTTCACTGTCACCACTGCAGAATGATGGTGTCGTACATTTGGCACTATCTAAAATATGGAAAAGTACAAGAATTGAATACTGTGTTGTGTAAGTAGCCTGCAAAATACTCATGACAGAACTGTCCTCACTTACATCACTGGGCTATACTTTAAGCAAATTCTTTCTCTCTTGTCTTTTACATCATAATTTGGTATTTGTATAACAATTAAGACTTGGAAACATTGCTGAAAGAATTGCTGACTAGTTGATACTTTATCTATGAAATGTCTTAACACTTTCGCGCTCCGTGGAAACTCGCGGTTGACAGGGGGATCATGGCCCCTCCGTGCGGGTAAGCGCGCGGTGACACCCAAATGTGTATACTCGTTCCAGCTTTCTCACCTTAATTCTCGTGCTACGTCGCTCGTTTTGGTATCATTGTGTTCGCAATTAAATTCTCTACAGGTGTGTATAAATATAATGTCCAAAAGCCTAGCGTGACTCCCAACAGCAAAGCGTAAAGTCGGCAAAAACGCACAAAATCAGTAACATGTGCATTCTCGTTCCATTTTTTTATCTTAATTCTCGTGCTACGTCGCTCGTTTTGGTATCATTGTGTTCGCAATTAAATTCCCTACAGATGTGTATGAATAAAATGTACAAAAGGCTGGAGTGCCTCCTAGCAGAAAAGCCTAAAGTTACCCGTGAACAAGCACCATTTTGTACATTGCAACCTAATGTTCAACTCCTTCAATTTGATAACATCAAATTTCGTGCTACGTCGCTCGTTTTGGTATCAAATTGTTCGCAATAAAAAGGTGAGTATTTTAAAACTAGTCCCAGAATAATAGAGCAATAACTGGATTTTTAACAAATATTTTAATTCTGGACGCTCATCATCACAAATATATTTATATCTTTCCAGTGTTCTGACATAAATATTTGTGTTACATCTTTCATTTTGGTATCAAATTTTCGCAATAAAAAGGTGCGCATTTTAAAACTAGTCCCAAGATAATAGGACAATAAATAGAATTTTAACAAATATTTTAATATTCGGACCATAGGCCTATTTATAATATTTCAAGTGTTTGGACATCAAGTTTCATGTTATATCTTTGATTTTGGTATCAAATTGTGTGCAATCTAAAGGCGCTTATTTTAAAACCACTACCAGATTGATCTGATAAAATTTAAATTTTTAAAAAATATTTTAATGAGTGACTCAGTACTGCGTCGTTGGAACACATTCAGTAGAAAAATGAGTGACGAGATAGTCAGTCTGTGGAACCTCAAAGTGTTAAGAATCTTGACATTAAACAATAAGAAAGAAGATTAGCAGATTATGATGGAATAATTAACAATTACACTATAGAATACAGTATTGCTTAAAATTGTCTTGTCTGATAGAGTTAGCTTTGTTCTTGACCCACAATCAGGGATCCCAGGCAGCACAGAAATGATTGGGCACATTTCCTTTAATCTAATGCCTCTGTTCACTTAGCAGTAAATACATACCAGGGAGTCAGGCAACAGTTGTGGGGTTGTATCCTAGGGAGGGTCAGTAATTCCACCTTGGGAAATCTCGATACAAGCTTAAAACATACAGATATACAGGCTTCCTGTTCCCAACAAAACGAATGAACTACTAGGTCATTATTAGCACTGAATAAATAACATGTACAGTATGTACATTTCATTCACGTACTGTATATACCATATATGATCTATGTTAAAACACAACTCCTACAAGTGTTAAAATATTACTTTTTGATATATTGCACATTATAACTCCCAGCATCATTGATAAGGTTTGTATTCCTTCTTACAGCCCCCACTGATGGGCCTCAGGAGGAGATACCTCAGTAAGGCTCAAAAATATAGAGGAATACCTTCAGTTCCTGATATTGGGAACCAGTCTAGCACATCTAACAAATGGGGTTTTTAACATCTGTTGATATTAAATTATAATATTGCCTACTCTTTTAATGAAATGCACATATATTATTAATTGTGGAAATGACTTAGTTGTTATGGCATTAGAGAAACTTATAAACAAATTATTGTATCGGTAAAGTTTAATTGGCATTTATCTTTATAAGCTACTAGAGGTGTACCTGGCAGTGCCCAGGAGTCTCTCTCTCCTCCCATCTCTGCCGCCACCCCCTCATCCCTTGCCCCCCCTCCCCACAAAATGTATTAACACTTAGGGTATCCATATCAACCATGGATAGCTCCGGGGAGCCTCCGGGATTCACCCAGAAAATGGCGTTTCATTACATTCAATGCTGGTTTTTTTCAAATTTCTTTCTGCCTCTCTCCTCACTGCCGTGTAGTTGTTTTTCGCATCTTTGTATCGCTGGTATGTTTGGGGGTTTGGCGTCTTCATATATTTATTCTATTTTTGTATCTTGGTCTCTGGCCCCTCTCACAATATGTTAAGTAATTGATGTGCACGTAATTTTTCTCTTCAATTAACTAATAAGTGTATTAATTTCCAGAGACATGAGTTACGCAGTTCGTCCACTGAACTTCCTATATCGATTTGGCAGTAATTTAGGTCTGCGTTATGGACAGATTGTCTTACCATCTCTCCTCTCAAATTTTGGTCCTATGTATTGTTCCAAAATAAAAAGACTACGATAAAGCTTCTGGATAGTTTCTTTCTAATCTTGTAAATAATGAATTAAGCCTTGGAAATTAAAATAAGTGATTCAATTAACTCTTGGTAAAATAAATTTTTAAATAAATCTGTTATGTTTGATTAACCTTAATAGTACTGTACTATTAATTATTGTTTACACTGGCTGTTTTGGTGGTTCTTTAATGCCAACAGAACAAATGTTTAACCCTAACACTACTCTAATTACATACATACAATTTTAAAGGTACAATTTTGAAAGTACAATATCATAACACACTTGCTGTCCCAAGGAGCGACCTACATCGCACAAGAAGGTAGGCCTAGGATTGCGTGTGAGCACACAACCCAATGCCAAACTCACTCAATAATAGAACTAAGTATAAACACTAAGCAAATATTATGCACGAGAGCATCATCACATAGTCTGCGTGGTTTGGTTTTATAACACCGAGAACGTCTTCAGGGTGGAAAAGTGTTTAAAAGTTCAATTTCTATAGAGATGTCATTCAGTCTCTTAGATGTTTGGTGGGGGGGGGGGTGAAGGGATGTCCACTACAGTATCTTCAAACAACAGAATATACCTGGGTGTGTTATTATGGCTAAAGTGCACTTGTCTAAGTCTCTAGTACACTTGTGTTCATTCTTAACACAATTGGCAATGTCAAACAGTACAAATAGTTGGGTATGTTTCCTTTCACCTAATGCCTCTGTTCACCTAGTAGTAAATAGGTACCTGAGAGTTCATCAATTGTTATGGGGTTGTATCCTGGGGAGGGTCAGTACTTCAACCTTGGGGGAAGGGGGTCTAGATACATTCCTTTACAAAATTAACTTGTAGAAAATAATTCATTTACAGGATTCTGATAAGCTAATTCTCAGCTATGCTGTTATTATGTGCACAGTATGTTGTGAGGAGGAATCTTACAAAGTGAGGTAGGTAAGTACACCAGTCAGCCAACTGGTGTACTTACCTAATTGTGCTTGTGGGGGTTGAGCTCTGGCTCTTTGGTCCCGCCTCTCAACTGTCAATCAACTAATGTACAGGTTCCTGAGCCTACTGGGCTCTATCATATCTACACTTGAAGTTGTGTATGGAATCAGTCTCCATCACATCACTTCCTAATGCATTTCATTTGTCTACTACTCTGACATTGAAAAAATTCTTTCTAACGTCTCATGGTTCATTTGGGCACTCAATTTCCACCTGTGTCCCCTAGTGCGTGTGCCCCTTGTGGTAAATAGCCTGTCTTTATCTACCCTATCAATTCCTCTGAGAATCTTGTATGTGGTGATCGTGCCCCCTCTAACTCTTCTGTCTCCCAGTGATGTGAGGTTTAATTCCCATAGTCTCTCCTCGTAGCTCATACCCCTCAGTTCGGGTACTAGTCTTGTGGCAAACCTTGGAACCTTTTCCAGTTTAGTCTTGTGCTTGACTAGATATAGACTCCATGTTGGAGCTGTATACTCCAGGATTGGTCTGACATATGTGGTATACAAAGTTCTGAAAGGTTCCTTACACAAGTTTCTAAAGGCCGTTCTTATGTTAGCCAACCTGGCATATGCTGCTAATGTTATCCTCTTGATATGAGCTTCAGGAGACAGATCTGACGTGATATTAATCCCCAGGTCTTTCTCTCAGACTCTTGAAGTATTTCATCTCCCAAATGATACATTGTATTTGGTCTCCTGCTAAATCACACGGTATCTAGCAAACCACCGAGACTCGGAAGACAATTTAGCACAAGCTCAAGAAATTCGAAAATATAATCCTCACCTTCAAGACAGCAGGGCAGGAGACACCCCCCTAAAAAACAGATAGTCCAGCTCGTCGGAAAGTGACATTGATGAGTCAATTTCAGGTCCACTGAGAACCTATACACCAATTGCAACTTCCATGGCGTGTTCATCAGACTCCATGGATACCACGGAATTATCAGCAAATTCCAAGAACCTAGAGGTCTAAAGATCCTGCAATGGAATGCGCAAGGACTGCGCACAACATTGCAACACTTGCAATGCATAGCAGCAACCAAAGGCATAGACACCCTGATACTGCAGGAGAGCCTGCTTCGAGACGAATCAGAACCTAAAATCTCAGGCTATGGAGGCTTCTTCCTTCCATGGATCAATGGGCAATCCAGGGGATGTGCAATCTGTAAAATGTGACCTGATCTCCAAGTCCATAACCAGCCCACCCGACTGTGGAGCAGGGACAGAGGTAATGGGAGTAACCATTGAGCTAAGACACGACAAACTTGAAGTGTTTAATGTGTACAGGTCTCCACATGCCGAAATGGATCTCTGTGTTATTTGGACACGCGACAATATCAAACACAATCATTTGTGGAGATTTTAATGCCCATCATCGATTGGCACTGGGCTCGAATACAACAAATGAGGCCGGCACTCATATTGCACATCTACTAGACCAGCTTCCAGAAATCCAAATTCTAAACAAGAATGAACCCAACCACATCCAAGGAGGCAGATTAGACCTAACCTTCGTTTCAGCCTCCCTAAGAGATGCAGCAACATGGTCAGTTGAGCCCACACTCACAAGCGACCACTATGGGGTCCAAATTGATCTTAAGTTAGACCTACCCACCCCACCTCCGCCTCCATCTGAAGCCTGGAACTTTGCTTTAGCAAACTGGGACCGATTTCAAAACCTCATTTCAGAGTGGCATAGAAACTATGATCTTCCCGAAGACATTAATCAGGCAGAACAAGAATTTGTCAAAGCAATTCAAAGTGCAGCCACCCACTCAATCCCACTGAAAAAAACTGTCCACCGGACACCATAAAGATCATTGGTACTATTGCGAGCGTATCAAAGAACTCAACCATAGACTCAACAGAGCAAGAAAGCTATACAAAAAGCAACCAAGTGACCGCAACAGGACCTTACTTTGTGAGGTCAAGGAACATGTGCATCGAGAGACCAGACTAATAAAAGAACAAAAGTGGCTGGAATGGTGTTTACATCTGAATGAACACACCTCTCTTGGAGAGATGTGGCAGCAAATTCACCGGGCCAAAGGGAATAAAACACCTAAAGCCCCACACCCCAAGGATCCTCAACAGGAAGCCGAAGTACTTGCAACCAGGTTTGCAGAGAGAGCAGCCAGTAATCAGCTTCCACTAGATGTACTAGCAGTGCAGGCAGGATTAGAGGAAGAAAGGTGGCACAGAATCCTTACAGCATGTGAAGAAGTCTCTGACACTAATGCCCCCTTCACACTGGATGAGCTCAATTGGCCTAAGAAAAACTCCAAGTATACATCCCCTGGAGACGACAAAATAACCTATAAAATGAATAGAAACCTCGGCCCAGAGGGAGACGCTGCATACCTAAGGTTAATTAATTTAGCCTGGACTTCTCAAACTAGGCCTACAGCTTGGAATAGAGCAGATAGAGTGCCGATCCCAAAACTCAAAGATCCAGCTAATCCCAGGCCCATCTCTCTCCAAAGCTGTGCAGCCAAGACGGCTGACAGAATGGCACTCAACAGATTTGAGTGGAAAATGCCTAAACTGCACCATGATATGTATGCCTATAGAAGAGGGGTTGGCACAGTGGAATGTATTACAACTCCCACTTGGATGCCCACTTGAATGACAGACCAGGAATGCTGATATTCCTGGACCTCGAGAAATCATTTGAACTGGCTAGCGCCCCAGCTATTCTCTGCTGCCTCATTGACAAAGAGGTCAGAGGCAACCTGCTCTCCTGGACCAAAAACTGTCTCGTAAACAGAGAAGCAAGAGTTAAACTTCATGGCACAGTCTCTGAGTACAAAAAGACATGAAAATGGTACACCGCAAGGAGGTATTCTCAGCCCCCTTCTCTTCAACTTTTTAATGGAAAGAATAATGAGGTTGAAACTTCCACATCACTGCAGGCTGCTAAACTACGCGGACGACTTTGTCATCATCATAAAAGGAAGGGATGCGGCGCGCCTTGCACCCAAATGTTTAGACTTCATCAGTAAAGAGGCAAAACAGATTGGTATCAAACTCAACCCCTCAAAGTCAAAAGCCATGCCCATAAAAATAGAGAAGCCCAACATCCAACTCACAGTACAGGGTCAACCAAATGAATGGGTCGACACCTATCAGGATCTAGGAATAATCCTGGACACACACATGAATTTTAATGCTGAGGTCACTTACTTGAGAGAGCGAACTGCGGCCCGGACGGCAATCCTCAGGTTTTCCTCAGGCTCCTCTCTGGAGGAGCCAAACCTCCCTCTCTGGAGGAGCCAATCTGCAAGTCCTTCGCACATATTATGTACAGGCAGTCAGATCAGTGATCGACTATGCCGCACCTGCACTCACAAATCTATCACACCAACAGTGGAAAAAGCTTGAAGTTGCCCAAAATAATGCTATGAGAGCCGCACTGGGAGCCCCCATGTGGACCAGGCTTGAAACTCTTAGAATGGAAACGGGTTTGCCCTGTCTTCAAGAAAGAATATCACAAAGAACAGCTACAGTTATCAGTAAGATAATTATTTCTCATGACGGAAATAATAAGGGAATTTATTAGGTAGTGCTTCGTTTTTACCTTAAACTGGTTGAGAGAGGTACAGTCTTTAACATGATTGGGAAGGTCATTCCACATTCTGGGTCCCTTGATTTGTAGAGCATTTCTAGTTTGATTAAGTCGTACTCTTGGAATATCAAAACTGTATTTATTTCTGGTGTGGTGCTCATGGGTTCTGTTACAACCTTCAATGAAGCTTTTGAGGTCAGGATTGGCATTATAGTTTAGCGTTTTATATATGTATAATACACATGAGAGAATGTGCAGTGACTTAATGTCTAACATATTCAGAGATTTGAGTAGGGGTACCGAGTGATGTCTGGGGCCAGAGTTTGATATTGTCCTAATAGCAGCTTTGTGTTGAGTAATTAAAGGACGTAAATGATTTTGGGTAGTAGAACCCCAAGCACAAATACCATAGTTTTGATATGGATAGATGAGGGAGTAATAGAGAGTCACCAGGGCAGGGCGGGGTACATAATATCTGATCTTAGAAAGAATGCCAACAGTTTTTGAAACTTTTTTTGATATATTTAGAATGTGTCCCTGGAAATTCAGCTCAATCTTTCATATAGAATAGGGTAGCAGCACTGCTGTGTATACCTAAGCTTGTTAATAAAAAAAGGAGGCTGGGTTGAATTATATATACTGAAAGATCTGACAAAAATCTTTAAAATGACAATTGCAAACAAATTTACATTGTCTGCAATATTTCTGCACTTAACAGTCTCCGTGGTGTAGTGGTAAGACACTCGCCTGGCGTTCCGCGAGCGCTATGTCATGGGTTCGTATCCTGGCCGGGGAGGATTTACTGGGCGCTATTCCTTAACTGTAGCCTCTGTTTAACACAACAGTAAAATGTGTACTTGGATGAAAAAACGATTCTTCGCGGCAGGGGATCGTATTCCAGGGACCATAGGATTAAGGACTTGCCCGAAACGCTACGCGTACTAGTGGCTGTACAAGAATGTAACAACTCTTGTATATATCTCAAAAAAAAAAAAAATATATTCTTAGAATTCTCACTTTACTTCGCATGATCACAACTCCCCTTAAAAAAAGCACACACCCATATATTTTGTTATCGTATTTATCGTATTTTTTATACGATATTGTTTATCATATTACTGTGCGTGTGTATACTGTAGTGTGAGAGTAATGGGGCGGGGAGGATTTTTTATTATTATTATTATGCACTCCATACCCATCCCGTGGGCTGTGGTGGAAATGGTTAGAGGCACATAATGGGCTCAGCGACTAAACCCCAAAATTCATTTAGGTGAGGAAGTTACAGTCTTGATAAACTGGTTACAAAATGTAATGTATATTGTTACATGAACAATTATTGGGGGTGGACGATACAAGTGTGGTGGAGGACGATCGTCAGGCGGCCGCACCACAACATGATGACGCATTTCCCGCGCTTTCTGGCCGAGCGTGGACGGGAATGTGTGTGGCAGCCGCTCCTCTCACCCCCACCATGACCACCCGCTACTGAGGACTCTTGCCAGGTTGGTGCTTGCTGTGCCTGCATCTGGAGCACTTGTTTTATAACGTGGTATTCTTGTTGGGTCACTTGAGCTAGCTGTGAGTGTGTATGTTGTCGGGAGGAAGCCATTTGGGTTAAAGGGAGCGAGATACGTTTCAGTGGCGATGACTCTACATCCGTCACTAATTGTGTATAGCTGATTTTCATTCCTAGAAGTGTTTAATGGCTCTCAGTTTGTAAAGTTGTGTTAAAAGGCAACCTAAAACAAGTTAGAGGAGCTTATGCTGTTAGGGCGTCTTCGGAAGTCAACACTCCGAGTCGTGACAGAAACAGCTGTCTGTCGAGAATTATCAATACAAATGGTGGTGATGCACGTAATATATACCTTTGGCAGTTGTAATTGTGAAATTATGTAACTTTGAATGATGAAGTGTTGTCAGTAGTTAGGGAACATCGGAGAGCGAGGATCTTCAGGAATGTTGCCGCAGGGGGGTACCATGTTTATATAAGAAGTTCTGTGTTAGGTGATTCAATGGTACAATAACAATTTTGTTTCTTTGAGATAAAGTGATTACAGTGGCAGTCATGTAGTTAGACACCCTGCATCCCCAATGCTTTGCATCCCCAGTACCCTGCATCCCCAGTGCCCTGCATCCCCAGTGCCCTGCATCCCCAGAGCCCTGTATCCCCAGTGCCCTGTATCCCCAGCCCCCTGCATCTCCAGTGCCCTGCATCTCCAGTGCCCTGCATCCCCAGTGCCCTGCATCCCCAGCGCCCTGCATCTCCAGCATCTCCAGCATCCAGCATCTCCAGCATCCAGCATCTCCAGTACCCTGCATCCCCAGCGCCCTGCATCCCCAGCATCTCCAGCATCCAGCATCTCCTGTACCCTGCATCTCCAGTGCCCTGCATCCCCAGTGCCCTGCATCCCCAGCACCCAGCATCTCCAGCACCCAGCATCTCCAGTACCCTGCATCTCCAGTGCCCTGCATCCCCAGTGCCCTGCATCCCCAGCATCTCCAGCATCCAGCATCTCCTGTACCCTGCATCTCCAGTGCCCTGCATCCCCAGTGCCCTGCATCCCCAGCACCCAGCATCTCCAGTGCCCTGCATCTCCAGTGCCCTGCATCTCCAGTGCCCTGCATCTCCAGTGCCCTGCATCTCCAGTGCCCTGCATCGCCAGTGCCCTGCATCGCCAGTGCCCTGCATCCCCAGCGCCCTGCATCCCCAGCGCCCTGCATCCCCAGCGCCCAGCATCTCCAGTGCCCTGCATCTCCAGTGCCCTGCATCTCCAGTGCCCTGCATCTCCAGTGCCCTGCATCCCCAGCGCCCTGCATCCCCAGCCCCCTGCATCTCCAGTGCCCTGCATCTCCAGTGCCCTGCATCCCCAGCACCCTGCATCCCCAGCACCCTGCATCCCCAGCGCCCTGCATCTCCAGTGCCCTGCATCTCCTGTTTCCACTTTTGTAGATTGGAACTATGTTAGCCTTTTTCCACACATCACCTACAACTCCTGTACACAGGGATGCCTGAAAAATCAATTATAGAATTCCTTGTCTCTTCCTTCAGCGGGTCTGCTTCGCCTGCATTCCATCTGTTCCTGACTGGTTCCTGGGTCACGCGGCGGTTGCTCGAGAGTTTGTGCGGGAGCCTGAACTTTACCATGATGGTCTACCCGCCGGGTCGTGTGTGGCTTTGTCGGCTGTTCTGGTTCCTTCGGGGACGTCCCTTCCGCCTATCTCGGGATCACTGGGTTCGACACCCGAGGGTCTTACATCGGCTGCTGCGTCGCCGGCTTCCTCTTCGGGTTTTTCGTGGATCAGTGCTTTGACACCTACCCGAGCCCTCGCTAGATGTGTTCACAGATGCGTCGTCTCTCGGCTGGGCTTTTGTGACCAGTGCTCACCAGGCCGGCCAGGGGCGGTGGAGTCCGTCCCTCTGTCTAGCTCACAGCACGGTGGGATGCTGCTCCGGAGGGTTTGGGTCGCTCGTGGATCGATAATCAGGCTCCATTCGGACTGTTCCCCAGTGGTTCATTTCCTGAACCGAGGGGGTTCGATGGGGTCCTTGACTCTTTGGGGCTGGTCACTTCGGGTGACTCGTCTGATGAGTTCTCAGTTTGACTCTCTTGGCTGTTCACATTCGGGGAGTGTCAAATGTCTTGGCGGACAGCCTCTCACGGTTCATTCCCCTGTCCACAGAATGGACTGTCGACGTCAGCTCCTTCAGTTGACTCTGCCAGACGTTGGGGCCTCCGGAGGTGGATCTCTTCACGCCGGCGTAGTCGAGGCGTCTTCCGTACGTGTACGTAGCGCCCTTCCCTGACTGCGAGGCCGTTGCGGTCGATGCCTTTTGGCTGGATTGGGCGAGGTTGGGTTACCTATACGTCTTTCCCCTGGTTCAGCTGTTGCTCCAGGTCCTGGTTTGCTTGGAGACTTACCAGGGGAGAGTTGTCCTTCTGACTCCTTGGTGGTAGGCCCAGTCTTGGTTTCAGGCACTGCTCACTCGGTGTCTGAACCTGAGGGTCTTCCGCGACTCCGCCTCTTTCGGCATATCGATCCATTCCGGTACGAGACTGGTTCGGTCTTCGTCTGGAGTTTTTGACTCGAGTCAATCATCACTTATATGGTACACAGGTGACATTGTTGTTGATCTTCCACTTGCGTGCTTCGTTTCGGCGACAGTATGAAGTTTCCTGGTGGTCCTTCTGTTTTTTTTTTTTTCTATCCCTGCGTAGGTATTCTTTGATCTCTGATAGGGTTGTTTTGTTCTTTCCAGGACCATCGTCTTACGCCGAATACTGTCGCCTTGTATCATGCGGCACTGGAGGAGCGCTTCAGCTTGCTTTCAGTATCGATGTTACTTCTGCCCCATTCTGCAAGCTGTCTCGTGCATTGTTTCACCTCCAGCCTGTTCATGCGCCTCCTGAACTGTCCTGGTCTTTGGACCTGGTGCTCTCGTTTCTCTCTTCTCCTCTGTTTGTTGTGGCCCCTTCCATTCAGGATTGTTTTTCTAAGGCACTTTTCCTGTTGGCATTGGCCTCTGGGCCAATGCCAGGAATCGGGGAGCTTCATGCTCTCCTCCGGCACAGGGTTTCGGTCCTGGTGGTCGTTTTGTTCGGTTGCAACCATCTCCTTTTCTGGCAAAGAATGAGATGGCTGCGTTTCGGAGGAGGCCTTGGGTTATTGATGCTTGGGTGGTCAGGCCAGGGGTGCATCATGTGTTGTATCCGGTTGTGGCTCTCCAATGTTGTTTACACACCACAGCTTCGGTGGCCGTGGATGCACTTTGGGTTGACTGGGTTTTCCTTTTTTCCTGTTCCCGGGCTCGGGTCTCTCAGGTTGTCCGCAGGGTTATTACGTCTAGCCAGCCTGCGTGCCCACGACGTGTGTAAGTTTGCTGCTTTGGCTGCCGTCTTTGGCAACATGTCTTGGGTTCACATTTGGGCATAGGGTTTTTGGAGGTCGAACAAGGTTCAGGCAGCTTGCTACCTGGTGAATGTCCCTGGGGCCTGGTCGGCCCTGTGTTGCATTGGGTTGGCGGTTGCAGCCAGTTGTCTCACCTTCATGTTGAGGAGTGAGGGCGGACTGTCTCCCGAGTAAGTCCCTATTTTCCTTATCTTTGGTTAGCTCCAGGTAGCCGACGGGGCTTCCCCCAGAAAACCAGCGTTGAATGTAATGAAATGCCATTTTCTGGGCGAGTCCCAGAGGCTCCCTGACATCCCTCCCTACCCCCCGGTCGGCGGTGTTTTTTGCATTTTTTTGACATTCCAGCCTAAGAACTGTAGGTTGGGTCACCAGCGTGAAGCTCTGGGGCTCCCCCCTTCCCCGTCTCGGGGAGGGGGGAGTTGCGCAGAGGGCGGCGCGGCAACATGATGACGTCATGCTCGTTTGTTAATTTTTGTTTGGGGAGTTGTCTATTCGTTTGGCTTTCGGTAGCAATAGTTTCACCAGAATAGGGGTATGTTTTGGGGTGCCTGTCCCGGTTGATGGCAGACATAGAATGCTCCCAACCACAGGGGGTTTCTATAGGCCATTGCTCCTCATGCGTCTCTGAGGGGGCCAGGTTCAGGCTCGTGGTCCCCGGTAGGCAAGAACTCCATACACATTGACTGATGCCAGAAAGTTATACATATCCATTCAGCCTGGATGGCTCCCGGGAGCCTCCGGGACTCGCCCAGAAAATGGCGTTTCGTTACATTCAAAGCTGGTTTTTTTATTTTTGGAAAATATCCTTCAATCACCCTTAAGAACTCCAAGTGACTGATGATCCCAAACTAATATAGCACATATCAGATTGGTTAGCTTCAGGGAGCCTCCGAGGCTTCACCCAGAAAATGGCATTTCATTACATTCAACTCTGGTTTTTTGTAGTCGCTTAAGGAGACCCTGAGTTGCCAGGAACATTTGAGTTCGGGAATGCGCTGATAGATCGGAATGTTAGTGTTAATATTTATTAACTCCTTTATGTAATCTTTTTACACTTGTGTAACCATTATACTTTACATATTTAGCTCATACGAATTGGTGTCCTGTTAATTTGCGAGCTTGAAGTGCTGTGGGCATTAATAGCATTATTTTCTATACTTTCAGACTTTGTAGTTAAGGCACAGCATTGTAGCGATGGAATTCACTCCTAAGAAGCAACCTGGCTTTGGCTCAGGTAAGTCATTACTTTTGTTTCACATTAACATCTTTACAATAACCATCATTATTTCAACAAATTTGAATAACAGCATTTGGGTTTAAAAATATACATTAGGGATGCAATTTAAGTTTAGGTACGGTTTATATGCAGTATGGTTTGCATAAAAAAAAAATTGTTTCAATGTCACTGACTTCTGTAGATTTTTCAAATTTTGTATGTATATCCACAAGATGATATAATGCCCATTCACATTACTGTACACTGTTCAGAAAAGGGGTTAGTTTACAGTTTTTGGTGCTGTACTATAAAATGGATACTGTATCAGTGTATTTAATGTCTAAAGAGGATGACAAAGTTAATCCCTGGAAATAGAACCCTCCCTTGTAAATAGAGATTAAGGAAGCTAAATTTGCAGTCTTTAGAAGTGTGAGCAGTAGGGGGGGTGACATGATTGAGGCATACAGATGGATAAAAGAGTATAATAATGGGGGTATTAATGTTAAATATATAAACATGAAATAATGTATGAAATTAGATGAGTTTAGATTTGGAAAAGTCCTGGATAAATATCAAATTGTAAGCAGGGTTATTTATGGAACAAATTACGGGTAACATAATAGATGTGTAATTGCTGGATCAATCGAAGGTTAAACATAAACGTGAAAGAGTTTGGCTAGATATAAATAGGAGCTGCCATATATGGGCAATAGGCTTTCCACAGTCATTTACATTAAGTGATTAATTTTTTCTTGCTCATCATTTTCCAGACTACAGTACTTTTATAACTCGGATTTGGCATTTTTTTTAATGATATAAAAACAAATAACTTCAGTTAGGAAGAATACCTTAAAGGTAACTACCATGCAATTAAGAAGTCTACTAAAGAGCACTTACTCCACGTGACAAACAGGGCTATCTGATGTTGGCAGAGCTCAGTTTAACCCAAGTCGAAACGTAATGCTTATAGAGACTCCCGAGTTGTAGAAGTCTTCTAAAGGCAACCTTCATAGGATGGGGGACACAGTGGGAGGCTGAACAAATCTTGATAAAAGGGAACATGGAACATCTAAACCAATGGGGGGGGGGAGGAACACTTGACAATCTGCTGGCTTCATGTCCCAGTTGAGGTCACTAGACGGATAGTGGTCCTTGGGTAAACTCAGGTACAGGTATAGATAAAGTTTGACTTTCTGATGGGCATTCCCATATTTTTTCTTTTTTTTTCAACATTCATAATTCAAAGGTCAGGAAAATTTTTTTTGAGTATAATAGTTTGGGTATGGTCATTATGCCATGACCTTTGGTTCACCCAGGTCACTGCCTGCACTGTTTAATATAAGTAATATTCTTCTAAATACCACTTTCCAAATACAGTATACATTTGTGTGTGTATATTTATACAGAAACTAATATTCTTCTCTATACCACTTTCCAAATACAGTATATGTTTGTGTGTTAGACAGTTTGCTTTTTTTCAGGCTCTCTGCGTTCCAACCCTTACTCGACTGGAGGACGGAGTTATATAAAAAGGTTCAAGAAACGATCTGCAAATGTCAGCACACCTCGGTTGTCACTGGCAACTCCTCCAAGAACTAGTCTACAGAACCGCTTTTCCAGAGCCGAGAGAATTGTGAATAATTCTTCGAAAATTCAAACTAAATCTGATGAGGGATCAAACTTGGGAAAGTGGAAAAATAAGAATGAAGGAGCATCTCAAGCCACTAAGCGTCCATTTAGTGCTGTAAATGGTATAGATAACTCTATAGACCCTTACCATGTTCTTTCAGATAGTGAAAATGATACACTTGAGATTTCTAACAAATCCAACAGTTTAAAAGACTCTTCAGTGTTCTCAGATACTGATAATGAAATAATTGAGAGGAAAAACAAAGCTTTTGACAAGGAGAACTCACTTTTTGGACCTTCTAAATCCAATTCAGTCAAAGTATATACAAACAAAAAGAAATCTTTCAACTTGTCCAGATCAAGGCTTCTCTGTGATGTATCTCCTGAGAAAATTGAGAGAGCTTATGGCCCCAGGCGTTTATCTGGCGCAGAAAAAGAGAATATACCCACTGACACTAAAGCAGATCCATCTATTATAGAACTGACTTCCCCACATCTAATAGGGTAAGAAAAACATTATTGATGTATCCATTACTGGTAGCTTGTAGCTCGATTGACCCCATTTTACCCCCTCCTCCTCTTCTGGAGAATCTTCACATTACAGTGTCGGTGTGAAGACTTAAGGACACATGGTTCCTGTTAGTGTGCCATGCTGTCCTTTGATGACAGATTTAAAAGATTTGTGTGTTGTTGTGGGGAAGGAAGGTGGAGGGGGGGGGGATGATTTTAATGACACTAAAACTGATAAGTGTAAGCATAACTGTACCAAAAATATCGACATGCTTGTCCTGGTGTCTTGGGATACTGCCATTACTAATAACTGTATTCGATTCTCTAGGAAGTTTGTAAATAATAGTTATCGGTAATTATATACAGTGTGTGTATGTAATTACCTAAGTGTAGTTACAGGATGAGAGCTACGCTCGTGGTGTCCCGTCTTCCCAGCACTCTTTGTTATATAACACTTTGAAACTACTGACTGTTTTGGCCTCCACCACCTTCTCACTTAACTTATTCCAACAGTCTACCACTCTGTTTGCAAAAGTGAATTTTCTTATATTTCTCCAGCATCTTTGTTTAGTTAGTTTAAATCTATGGCCTCTTGTTCTTGAAGTTCCAGGTCTCTGGATATCTTCCCTATCAATTTTATCAATTCCTGTTACTATTTTGTACATAGTGATCATATCACTCCTTTTTCTTCTGTCTTCTAGTTATGGCATATTTAATGCCTCTAACCTCTTCTCGTAGCTCTTGCCCTTCAGTTCTGGGAGCCACTTAGTAGTATGTCTTTGCACCTTTTCCAGTTTGTTGATGTGCTTCAACAAACATGTGTTTGTTGTATGGGCACCACACAACTGCTGCATATTCTAGCTTTGGCTTAACAAAAGTTGTGAACAATTTCTTTAGTATTTTGCCATCCATGTATTTAAAAGCAGTTCTGAAGTTAGAGAGCGTGGCATTGGCTCCTCGCACAATGTTCTTTATGTGGTCCTCAGGTGATAGTTTTCTATCTAGAACCACTCCTAGATCTCTTTCTTTATCAGAATTCTTTAAAGATTTCTCACATAATTTATAGGTTATGTGGGGTCTATGTTCTCCTGTTCCACAACATGGCATTTATTCACATTAAATTCGATTTGCCAAGTGGTGCTCCATATACTTAATTTGTCCAGGTCTTCTTGAAGGGCATGACAATCATCTAAGTTTCTTATCCTTCCTATTATCATCATCAGCAAACATGTTCATATAATTCTGTATTCCATCTGGTAGATCATTTATGTAGACAGTGAACATCACCGGTGCAAGAACTGAACCCTGTGGTACTCCACTTATGACATTTCTCCAGTCTGATACATTGCCTCTGATTACTGCCCTCATTTGTCTATCCGTCAGAAAATTTTTCATCCATGTTAGAAACTTACCTATCACCCCTCCAATATTTTCCAGTTTCCAGAACAACCTCTTATGTGGAACTCTGTCGAAAGCCTTTTTTAGGTCCAGATAGGTGCAGTCAATCCAACCATCTCTTACCTGTAAAATCTCTGTGGCTCGATCATTGAAACCGAGTAAATTCGATACACAGGATCTTCCAGATCTAAAACTGTACTGTCTATCTGATATATCATTTCTCTTCAGGTGTTCTACCCATTTAGTTTTTATTATTTTCCAATATTTTGACTACTACACTTGGCAATGATACCGGTCTATAATTGAGGGGGGGGGGGGGTCTTCCCTGCTGCCACTTTTGTAGATTGGAACTATGTTAGCCTGTTTCCACACGTCTGCTACGATTCCTGTACACAGGGATGCCTGAAAGATCAGGTGAAGTGGAATGCTGAGCTCAGATGCACATTCTCTCAGAACCCATGGTGAAACTCCATCTGGACCTACTGCTTTGTTCTTACTTAGCTCCTTTAGCATATTTTCCACTTCATCTCTAGACACCTCTATATGCTCTGTTCTCTGGAATTCTTATTGTGTCTGGTTCCCTGAAGATCTCATTTTGTACAAACACACTTTGGAACTTTTCATTTAATGTTTCACCTAATTGTGCTTGCGGGGGTTGAGCTCTGGATCTTTGGTCTCGCCTCTCAACCGTCAATCAACTGATGTACAAATTCCTGAGCCTACTGAGCTGTCATATCTTCATTTGAAATTGTGTATGGAGTCAGCCTCCACCACATCACTTCCTAGTGCATTCCATTTATTAACTACTCTGACACTGAAAAAGTTCTTTTTAATGTCTCTGTGGCTCATTTGGGTACTCAGCTTCCACCTGTGTTCCCTTGTGCATGTGTCACTCGTGTTAAATAATCTATCCTTGTCTACCCTGTCAATTCCCCTGAGAATTTTGTATGTGAATTTTGTATGTGGTGATCTTGTCTCCCCGAGCTCTTCTGTCCTCCTGCGACGTGAGGTGCAGTTCACGTAGTCTGTCCTCATAACTCATGCCTCTTAGTCTTGGGACTAGCCTAGTGGCATACATCTGAACTTTTTCCAGCTTCGTCTTGTGCTTGACTAGATACGAGCTCTATGCTGGGGCTGCATACTCCAGGATTGGCCTTACATATGTGGTATACAAGGTTCTGAAGGATTCCTTACACAGGTTTCTGAAAACAGTTCTGATGTTAGCCAGCCTCGCATAGGCTGCTGATGTTATTCTTTTGATGTGGGCTTCGAGAGACAGGTTTGGCGTGATATCAACTCCCAGATCTTTCTCTCTGTCCGTTTCGTGAAGGACTTCATCTCCCATTCGGTATCCAGTGACTGGCCTCCTAGTTCCTCATAGTTTCATTACCTTACATTTACTTGGGTTGAACTTTAGTAGCCATTTGTCTGACTATTCCTTCAGTTTGTTTAGGTCATCTTGTAGCCTCATACTATCCTTCTCTGTCCTGGTCCTCCTCATAATTTTTGCATCATCAGCAAACATCGAGAGGAACGAGTCAATTCCTTCTGGGAGATCATTTACGTATATCAGAAACAGTATAGGTCCAAGGACTGACCCCTGTGGGACACCACTGGTGATTCCCCGCCACTCCGAGACCTCACCCCTCACAGTGACTCGCTGTGTCCTGTTGCTTAGGTACTCTCTTATCCAGTGGAGTACCTTCCCTTTCACTCCTGCCTGCATCTCCAGTTTGTGCACTAGTCTCTTATGTGGTACTGTGTCAAAAGCTTTCTGGCAGTCCAAAAATATGCAGTCTGCCCAGCCCTCTCTCTCTCTTGCCTGATTTTTGTTGTCTGGTCATAGAACTCAATTAATCCTGTTAAGCATGATTTGCCATCTCTGAACCCATGCTGATGTTGTGTTACAAAGTTCTTCCGCTCCAGATGTTCCACTAGCTTTTTTCACACAGTCTGTAATTACCTAAGTGTAGTTACAGGATGAGAGCTACGCTCGTGGTGTCCCGTCTTCCCAGCACTCTTTGTCATATAACGCTTTGAAACTACTGACGGTCTTGGCCTCCACCACCTTCTCACTTAACTTGTTCCAACCGTCTACCACTCTATTTGCGAAGGTGAATTTTCTTATATTTCTTCGGCATCTGTGTTTAGCTAGTTTAAATCTATGGCCTCTTGTTCTTGAAGTTCCAGGTCTCAGGAAGTCTTCCCTGTCGATTTTATCAATTCCTGTTACTATTTTGTACGTAGTGATCATATCACCTCTTTTTCTTCTGTCTTCTAGTTTTGGCATATTTAATGCTTCTAACCTCTCCTCGTAGCTCTTGCCCTTCAGTTCTGGGAGCCACTTAGTAGCATGTCTTTGCACCTTTTCCAGTTTGTTGATGTGCTTCTTAAGATATGGGCACCACACAACAGCTGCATATTCTAGCTTTGGCCTAACAAAAGTCATGAACAATTTCTTTAGTATATCGCCATCCATGTATTTAAATGCAATTCTGAAGTTAGAAAGCATTGCATAGGCTCCTTGCACAATATTCTTAATGTGGTCCTCAGGTGATAGTTTTCTATCTAGAACCACTCCTAGATCTCTTTCTTTATCAGAATTCTTTAAAGATTTCTCACATAATATATAGGTTGTGTGGGGTCTATGTTCTCCTATTCCACATTCCATAACATGACATTTATTAACATTAAATTCCATTTGCCAAGTGGTGCTCCATATACTTATTTTGTCCAGGTCTTCTTGAAGGGCATGACAATCATCTAAATTTCTTATCCTTCCTATTATCTTAGCATCATCAGCAAACATGTTCATATAATTCTGTATACCAACTGGTAGATCATTTATGTACACAATAAACATCACTGGTGCAAGAACTGAACCCTGTGGTACTCCACTTGTGACATTTCTCCATTCCGATACATTGCCTCTGATTACTGCCCTCATTTTTCTATCAGTCAGAAAATTTTTCATCCATGATAGAAGCTTACCTGTCCTTACCTTACCTGTGTGTGTGTGTGTGTGTGTGTGTATGTATGTATATGTGTATATATATATACAATGGGGCCTCGACTTATGATGCTAATCCGTTCCCAGAGACGGATCGTAAGTTGAAGCAATTTTTCCCATAAGAAATAAGGGGATTTGAATTAATCCATTCCCCACCCTCCAAAATATTAACATACAAATACATTTTATACTGAATACAATGTGTTTTTTCTAACTACAATACAGTACCTAAGTTTATCTTGGCTTATGGAGGGCTCTTGATGGCATATGGAAGATGGTGATGAGGGGGGAGGATGAGAGTTGTTACTGTTTGGAAGGGGAGTCCCCCTCCATTAACACATCAGGCAGTGATGTTTTCTCTGGGGTACTCTCTCTCCTACGTTTCGCCTGAATACCACTAGGACCTGGTTGTGGTTCAGTGCTTGTTTGTCTCACTACAAATTTGTCAAGAGATTTGTTTTTCCCTTCGTTTCAACATTTGTCTGTAATGAAGCATCACTTTAGCACCCATAATGTCTTTTCTTGGTGGGAGGAGGAATGTTGGCAAGTGAGAGGTGTTGGAGGGAGGGAGGGAGGGAGGTGGCATCTGCTAGCTGGTGTGTGGCAGCCATGCTTGTTGTTTGGACTTACCATACCAACTTAGTGGTTCGTTATGGTGAACACACATGTAGATAGGTGTATATGTGTGTATATAGTGTAATAACGGGAAAAACATCATTTGATTGATCGTAGAATGTAATATACATGTGACCTATATGAGCCCCCATAATTTTGAGCATAATGATGTTCCACACATTGAACTATATAAATTCCCCAAATTACACATTTTTTAATAATATTACAGTAAAAAAACAGAGAAGAAAAGAATGAGAAACATCAAATTAATTGTGAACAATTATATTAGCGGCAACTGCCGCCCCACGGAGTAGCCTGGGGCAAGTGACCCCGCGCACTTCCATCGCTTAATGCACATAATTTGCTCAACTTCTCGACTCCATCATGGCTAAAGTATGTCGCATGTAATATTTTATCTTAGTTTCCCATGATCAGAGACTGCATTTTATCAATATAAGAAGAGAAAATAATTTTTTTGCAAAGAATTTATTTTTGGGGCACCATGGTTGTCATATTTTAAGGCAGTGCAGCACGGTGTTTAAGGTGCTCGACGGGTGGCACACTGCAGGGGGTAATATTAATTAGAGTAATCCAAATAGTTTTGAAATGTGAATTCCTAATATTTGGTGTTTGATCATAAATTGTTTAGGATAAACTTCCCCGTCCCTAATTTTTGTTTATAAAAAAATCTTTTTATCTTATCCATTTTGGCAAGTGTAATTAAATGCTACATGTGCCATACTGATACTTTTTTTTGATTGCTCTCATAAAATTCATCTGCATCTAGTATTAAATAATTTAATTTGTTGTACTAATTCAAGTGTGTGATTATCATCTAGGTTCCCCAACTATGGCAACACATGCTACTTGAACTCAGTCATTCAGTCACTGTTTGGTTTGCCATCCTTTTTGGGCGACTTCCAGTTAGTGGCTTCTCAACTTGGCATGCCTCATACATCCCTCTCCTTTGGTCTGAGTCAAGTTTTGTCCAGCCGGATGAAAGGCCAAGTTTCTGGCGTTAAGCAGTCTCTCAAGTGAGTGCAATTTATTTTTTTTCCACCTTGTTATGCCCCCTTATGATAATAAGGTAGCAAACTAGTTTGTCTTGGATAAACCCTAATTTTCTTTTTGATTTTCCCTTATCACTAACTTTGGTGCCATGGTGACTTATTTACACTAAGAGTATAAAATATATGCAAGAAAACACGTAAAAGTTTAGAGAAGTCGTGGTGTTGTGCACTGAGCGACAAATACTGGGAAACTGACTTGTCTGGTATGTGTATTTACGTTTGAGTGCTGAACAAATGGTTCAGTACCGAACATTATCAGTGCCGAATTATTCACATTAGTTCGAGTTCCTAATTGTTCGAATTAAGAGCTGTTTGAGTACCATGGTTCCATTGTATATGAATTGAAAGTTTAAAAGTTATGTACGATGTATACCATCTTTATTGATATATTTTTCTTTATAACAGGACTGTTAAGGAGAATCTGGAGCGAGTCGATGGATCCTTTTCTGGTTTTAAGATGCAAGATGCAAATGAGTTTCTGACTCGGGTTCTCGACACCATGAAGGATGAAATTGATCGTTGCCATATGACCACTCCGAGTCCCGACCGCCTTCTGGGTTCTCAAACATTAGTCTCCACATCGAAGAAAGATCTTAATGAAGATGTTTGCCTTAGTGGCATTGGTGCTAAAAATGGTTTCATTTATCCCAGTTCATTAGACTTTTCAAGAGATTCAAACATTAATGGCGTTAGTGATGTCGTGGACAGTGAAGTGATTAATGATTTTGAAGAATTAACCAAGATAAATGGTGTTAGAGAAAATTGTAAGGTACTGGATACGGAAGCTGGAAATAATAAATCTGACTTGGTTAATATTTTTGGCAAAAGACCAATGGGGGGTGAGATTATGAATTTTGCCCTTCAAAGTGTAACGCCAAAGAAAACTTGTGATGAAGTTTTGCCAAGAAATCCAGTGAAAGATAACTTTGAATTTCAGTTACTTGAGTCTTACAGATGTTTAGGGTAAGTTTTTTTTATAAATCTCTTGGTAGTTTTTGGCAATATCGGGAAGAGTAAAGGGCTGGTGCAGTGAAAACCCTGATTAGAACACGATGTGGTCAAGGGGCTATATGAAATAAGTGAATAGGGGTCTTCTCTCGTGTATGGTTGCAAGATGATACTGCGACATGAATATGAGCAATATAGAATTAAAATGAGTTCTGATTGACAGTCTGAGGAATTTGTGGTTTCAAAAGGATAGAGTAAGATGTTCCAATGTCACATATGAAGACTGCAATAGGGTTCCTGGTATTTGACCATATAGTTGTATCATCCAGTTGGAAAGGAATTTCATCAGTATAAACATGTACATTTTAACTTATATTATATTTACCTGCTCCTCAACACTAATACATCATAAGGTCTACGTGTTCAAAATCCACATTGCTGAGCATGGAGAGACCATCCTCTGACAACTGGCATCTGCTTTCCAAATGGGGCTTTATTCTCTAAAGGAACCCGAGGTCAAGGTTCATGTGGCATATAATGCAAGAAACCGCAGCTGTGTGCTGTGAATATCTGCCTCGCACTGTGAACGCCACAACCAGCATTGTGTTTACAGATATCTGAACCTTGTACATAGTCTTCATCACAGTCAGGATCATCTTTGACACTATAATCACAAAATAATTGTAGTTATATATTTTCCATAATTAAGTAATGCTGTGGGCACAGGCTGTATGGTAGTGATGTGAGCAGTAATGGGGAGCCGGTCGGCCGAGCGGACAGCACGCTGGACTTGTGATCCTGTGGTCCCGGGTTCGATCCCGGGCGCCGGCAAGAAACAATGGGCAATGTTTCTTTCACCCTATGCCCCTGTTATCTAGCAGTAAAAATAGGTACCTTGGTGTTAGTCAGCTGTCACGGGCTGCTTCCTGGGGGGGGTGGAGGCCTGGTCGAGGACCGGGCCGCGGGGATACTAAAGTCCCGAAATCATCTCAAGATAACCTACTGCAGCATGCACTACCTGAGGTTGCCCTCTCAATAATGAGGTCCTAACATCCAGAAGGGGTGCTCATGATTTTTTCAAAGATGGTGTCTGTTTATTGGATGCCTGAGGAATCAAATGTGAGCCCTGTGTATGCATGGGACTTTTATAATCAACCCTGTTTGACTCGCTCAGCGTAGTCAGATATATCACAATCATCTCTGTTGCAGCTGAAAGGTTAAAGACCGTTTATCCACCTGAAATTAAAAAAGAACCCCAAATAAAATGCAACACATATTTCAAATGTGTTCCAACTGCTGCTGTAGGTACTTTACATATTTCAACATGTATATTTGAATAATTAGGGTTTAGTTTAACCAGTAATGAAAGTTGCTGTGCATTCAGGCACCGCAAATAACGACATTTAACCTCAGCGTGCAGTTATTGAAATATGCTCATACCTTCCTATGTTCAAAAAATGAAAAAAAAAATCCCAAATTTGGTTTCTTGTAGAATAATTAATTTTTATGCAAAATATAAGAACTGAAAAAATATAAATATTCACCTTTTTATGGAATGGATGAGGTGTTAAGGTTGCATGGTGGCAACCTGGGCCAGCATCTGTTGACATCTAATGCAGACTTTGCTGACATTGCGGTATACCTGGAGCATACCTGGAGGGGGTTCTGGGAGTACTTCTACTCCCAGAGGCCTGGCTTGACTTGTGATAACTTGGTCCAACAGGCTGTTGCATGGAGTGCCCATAAGTCCCACATATCTACTACAGCCTGGTTGGTCTGGCCCTTCTTGCAAGAACTTGTCTAATTGTCTCTTGAATACATCCACCTTTGTTCCAGCAATATTTCTAATGCTTGCTGGGAGGGTGTTGAACAGCTGTAGGCCCCTGATGTTCAGTGCTCTGATTGTACCTATGGCACCTCTACTCTTCACTGGTTTATTCCTCATTTCCTTTTGTCTTTGTGTCTTTTGTTCCAGTATGTTGTTGTTCTACTGTGCAAATTTGGGACCTGGCCTTCAAGTGTCTTCCATGTATATATTATTTGATACCTTTCTTGTCTCCTTTCCAAAGAGTACATTTTGAGAGTTTTAAGATGGTCCCAATAATTTAGATGTTTTATTGTTTCTATGCATGCCGTATATGTTCTCTGTATTCCCTCTAATTCAGAGATCTCGCCTGCTCTGAAAGGGAAAGCAAGTACTGAGCAATACTCAAGACGGGACAACACCAGTGGTTTAAATAGTATTAGCATTGATGTGGGGTCTAAATTTGAATGTTCTCATAATCCATCCTATCATTTTTTTAATGTGTCTAAATTCTACATCTATTTAGAGCTATTATATCCATATTAGTATCATTCATGTAAAAATAAGTATGATAACCCTGTGAATCAATGTATTATAATAAATGCACTTAAGTGTTCCAGTGTGAAATTCATAGTGAAATTCAAGTGTGAAATTCATGCAACATCAGTTCAATGGATAAATTAAAGTAATTAATACAGTACTCTACGTTTGTGATATTGGGGGAGGGAAGATGTGGGGATTTGAACTAGCAACTGACAATATGTTGTATACTGACTAAACACTTGCCACAATATTCTTGCAGTGATTCACCACAAATATTCACTTAAAGCAAAAGGAAAGAGAGCAAAGGTAATAAGACTAAAATAACATGAAAACAAGATGCAAGCAAACTTGCAGGACCCAGGGCAGCTCTTGATAAAGAGGAACAAGAGAAGCAATGTTTTAAAAGACATTATGGGAATAAAATGACAAATATTCTACAGCACTTGAACATGTAGAGATATATAAACATTCCAGGTTCAAAATGCCAGATGGAGGAGCATAAAGAGCTCTAGACCTCTCTTTCTATAGACATTAATGGGTAAGCACCAAAACCCAATACAGATATAATCTCAACTACAAGCATAACTCTACAAACATTATCCCATACAAGATACTCTTTTCATTTCATCAGTTTCTTTAGTAAGTCTGTTACATGGTGAAAGCAAAGAAAACAAATTTGAAGCTTGAAATGCAAATTCCCTAGAGAAATGAAAGGAAATGCTGTACTTGCAAGTAGTATGAGTGGTAAGTAAATGTATTGAAGTTTAGCCAAAAGTGGTGAAAATAATAAAAAAACGCAGCTTGTGCAGAGTATTGTAACGAGGTATCAATGGGCCAGATTAAATGGCTACTAGTCGGGGGTCACTAGAGCGAGATCTTGCTTTTTGTAGATGCAAATAAGCACTGCTCATTAGACTGCTTTTTATACCAGAATGCACTCTGTACACCCTATAGTCTGTGCTGCATGAACATTTTGTTCCGAGTAGCTAAGTGTAAAACAACAAGAGCAATGTGTACACCAGCCTCAACTTGGTTATACCACCCTGCTCTGAACTGGTCTGGGAGTATCCTTGGTCACCCTAGTACATTATTTTGCCAATATTATGGTGTGTGTAAATGTTGTTCACATTCTTTTGTACTAAATCCATTACAGTATTGTAGTTACAAAATCATATGTATATTTGAAATTTTAACTTGAATGTTGTCTAATATGGCTCATTACATGTTTATCTGCAGGTGTGGTGATGTTGTAGGAAGAAGACAAGAATATTTTGGACTTTATGTAAATCTTCCAGGAGAAGGACAAGAGTCCATTCAAGATTCCATTTCGTCATACATGGGATCAGATGAGAGAGAATTAAAGTGTGAAAAATGTGGCCATACACAGTCTTCTGTTGTTACTTCAATAACAAGTTTGCCAAGGTGAGAATTTTGGCTGGAGGTTGATGGTGCTTGTTCTTTGTGATATTTAGTATGCAAAATATGATGAATTAATGGGTGTCATTTTCTGTCATCAATTAACTTGTTTTCCATACTGCTCGTCCCATCTTCTATGGGCTGATGCCTCCATGTGCTGTGACAGTAGGGAAACAATATAGTAATGGTGTAGGTACTTTCAGCTCATTGTGTCGAGAAGCCTTCCTCACAGCACTTGATTTATAACTAAAGATCTCAAAAAATGAATACCTTGGTTTAAAAAATATTTCTTCATATTACCTTGAAACGTTGAATGATTACCGGTACTTATAATAGAAAAAGAAAGAAAAGAAAGTAAAAGTGTTTGTAATTGAACCATATAGCTCTACTGTGAGAAGAAAGTGTAGCTGCACCAAACTTTCTTCACACATAGCTGTATCTGGTTACTGTGTCAGTGATTTTGTATTACTGTTGTTTGTATTTTTGTTTTCCAGAGTACTTATAGTCCAGTTAAAGAGATACGAGTACAAGCCAGAGCAGTGCGAAAGTGTGAAGATGTCATCACGTGTGCGTGTTAACCGCTGGATTAGTTTAGATTCTTACATGACCAGTGATGGAAGTGGTCCCTCTCATTGGCAACCACAAGTTGGCAGGTAGGATGTTAACTATTTTAAATGCTAATGCCAGAAGAACTGTAATGTAATGTAATGTTTACTGTAATGTAATGTTTAGTCTTTTTATTCACTTTGATGTTAAAAATAAATATCCCTATTCTTGTATTTTTTTTTTCTCTGTAGAAATAGTGGTCACAACAACCAAAATCTGCTTATGTAAGGCATCTAGAGTATCTGTCCAAGATACATAATTGTAGATGGAACTTGTCTTAGTTTAATCTTTTAAGCTAACGATACCAGGACCTTGTCTTAATTCAGTACACGATTCAGTGTTTATGATCTCTTATAATTACCGTTATCAATGTCTTGTGTCTACAGCTGTGTAACCCCACGAACACCGAAACAGCCAACTCTTACTGTACGCAACCTGTCATCCGAATTGAATATGTGTGATGGAAAGAAAGAGGAAGAGCAACTGCCAGATCTTGTCAGTCCAGCCAAGCCATTTGGCAGTGCCACAGCCAGTGCCACTGAAAACGAAGATGAGGAACTGCAGGTAATGCTTCAAGTTTTCTCTTTTTTTCTCTAACATGGTAATACTTTACTCTATAAGATACAAAGATCTATCTAGCAGTTACAGTTTCTGCCGATGTATAACAGGCCCCTCCCCTATTCTGCAAGGATATTATGGAAAAGACCATTGGTATGTTTCATCATCCATTTACTGAAAATGATTTTTTAACTCTTAGGCGGCGATCCCTAGGGGGTTATCGTCAAAAGATGAAATCAACAATTATTGTCTGGGTTTTACATGCATGATGCAAATATGGAATAGGCCTATGTGGATGTAATGGAGTTTACTTTGACCTATTAAAAAAATCCTGCTACCATTTCATGGTATGAATGCAGTTATTGTCATGAATGGTACTAAAGAATGTGGTCATCATCATATGATGATTTAAACAATTATTAGTTACTAGCTGTACCCGGCCACTTGTTGCTGTGGCTCAGCAACGCATGTGCATTGCTGAGCCACAGGTTTTAGGTTTTAAGCATAAAACAAAGCTGTTGAATTTATAAAAAATATATATTTTTTTTCTTTTAGGAAGTGATGCGTCGTAGTATGGAAGATATTGGGGGTGTTCAAGAAGAAGACGAAATCCAGCAGGCAATTAGACTGTCGCTGCAGGAGATGGGTATGAGCTATATTCAAGAGAATCAAGGAGACAGTGCTGAATTTCAGGTATCCATTTATATGATTAATATACTGTGATATTTCATATTACAATCAACCTTGAAGCAATTTTTTATCTCTGGGCTATTTTATTGATTTAAAGCGGGTTGGATCCAGTGAGTGTAACTCCGCACTGAATATGGTGCAAATGCGAGTATGATATCAATACACAGTTGTGTGGAATAGATGCATATGTTTTGATTGATTTTTTGCACGTTTATATGCTCTGGTATCTTTTCAAGATACCTGTACTGCCTATCACTCAGATATACAGTGGTACCTTCATTTTCTAATTTAATCCGTTCACAGAGACAATTCTAAAAGAAACGAATTTTCCTTTAAGGAACAATGAAAATTTAATTTATATTTTATACATAATACTACTACTATTTTGTACTACAGTATGTACAAGTATATCTTATCTTTATTGAGGACTCTTGTTGGCGTATGGAAGACAGGAAGTTGGGGGAGGAGAGGTGTTAGTGTTTAAATGGGAAGTCCCCTTCCATTATAACATCAGGCAGTGATGACATTTCTGGGGTACTCTCTTACGTTTTGCAGGCATACCACTAGGACCTGGTTGTGCCTCACTGCTTGCTTGTCTTACTAAGATCTGTCTATAGACACTTGTTTTTGCCTATGTTTTAACACTTGTCTGTAGTGAGACATCACATTTGCAACCCGTTCTCGCTCTTTCGTATAGTCAATATTGACTTATTAAATACGTGCATATGTGACATACTAATTTATTGTGAATATTTTAGTTTACCTTAAAAAGCTTCATAGAAAACTCTGACTTTACCTAACCTTTTTAGTATGTTAAGATAAGCATCTTATTGCTTTGTAATTACAATTATTACTTAACCTATTATAGGTATAGGTTAAGTAATAATTGTAATTACGAAGCAATAAGATGCTTATCTTAACATACTAAGAAGGTTAGGTAAGGTTGGTGTTTTCTATGAAGCTTTTCAAGGTAAACTAAAATATTCACAATAAATTAGTATGTCACATATGCACTTATGTAATAAGTCAATATTGACTATAAGAAAGTGCGAGAACGGGTTGACATTTGTCTCACCATGAATGATCTCTTGTTTTCCTCTTATCGTCATCCACACAACTATTTTCTTAGAATTCAAGCGCGGTCATCACTAGGCAGGAGACGTCTTGCTTTACACCATCAACAATGCACACTGTCTTGCCTTACACCATCAACAATGCTCACTGTCTTGCCTTACACCGTCAACAATGGTCACTGTCTTGCCTTACACCATCAACAATGCTCACTGTCTTGCCTTACACCATCAACATTGGTCACTGTCTTGCCTTACACCATCAACAATGGTCACTGTCTTGCCTTACACCATCAACAATGGTCACTGTCTTGCCTTGCACCATCAACAATGGTCACTGTCTTGCCTTACACCATCAACAATGGTCACTGTCTTGCCTTACACCATTAACAATGGTCACTGTTAAATTACTGAACATAAGCTTGATAAGGTCAGTTTTGACTAACAGCTGCTGAGGTTTCTTTGGTTGAAACTGTTTTGGTGCTGTTTTGGTTTCTTTGGTTTTCTGGTGAGCACAGGGTCTCCCGGTGTCATTCAGCAGACTGGCCCAAACTCCCAGTAACCCAGATCTGTCTCGAGTTTGGGGAAGTTTAGCAGACAAACACTCGGACTTGATTTCGATTGGATTGGCCAAAGGTCTCTGGAAATGGGGTTTGGATTAGCAAGCTTTTTGTTAATGGGGGTTTGGATTAGCAAGCTCTGATGGTATCTACTTACATTAACCTACTTTCTCTTCATGCCCACATCATTGAGCTCCTTCAGTCTTTTGACATTTCTTCTCACTCAAGTAAAGAACACTTTATCAGCATATAACCACATCAGTAGGATTCAGTAGCTATATTTCACCAGGGTGGTTTTCAGTAATATTTAAGAATGTGCTATTTTGAATATAATTGCCTAGTTATATTAGGCACGTTTTATGTGGTAATTGTAGGTGAGCTTTCGTGCCTGCTAGAGACAGCTGGTAGGTAAGAGTCTGGTTCATGTGATGAAGTAACCATGACTAGACTCTTACTCATCTGCTGAGTCTGGCATTTGCTTCAGCTAATGTTCGGCCTAAATAAATGTGTTATTTTTTTGTAGAATAGTTTATGTATGTACAGTTCATGTATCACATAGTTGTTACCCCAGGTCTTCTATTTTGTGTAATAAATTTAGGGGTAATATACAATACAATATATCAGGTGTCTCTTATGGCTTTACCTGGATTTTCATAATTTAATTTTTTGTCTTGTCTACATGCGGTTTGGGAGAATGCCCTTACATAATGGCTTGAAACTTTTGACACCTGAGTTTTGGTGGTGCAGGAAAGTCCCTGTTAATATTGGATCATGAAGCTCCTTGTGTCTGGTTTTAGAATATTGCCGTCACTATTAGTCTTGGGCTCAAATGTCCTAATGATACAATATATCAATACCGGCATTACCGACCAGCTCCCCAACTGGGGAGCCGGTCAGCCGAGCGGACAGCACGCTGGACTTGTGGTCCTGGGTTCGATCCCAGGCGCCGGCGAGAAACAATGGGCAGAGTTTCTTTCACCCTATGCCCTTGTTACCTAGCAGTAAAATAGGTACCGAGGTGTTAGTCAGTTGTCACGGGCTGCTTCCTGGAGGTGGAGGCCTGGTTGAGGACCGGGCCGCGGGGACACGCGGACAAAAAGCTCCGAAATCATCTCAAGATAGCCTCAAGATAACTCAAGATATTTTCCTTTGTACAAGTTAAGGGGCCGGGTGTGCAATTTCTCAACCTTCCTCAAACACACAAATTTTTTGTGCATAATCTACGTGGTAAATGCTCCTTTTCCTAACGGATCAATATCATAACTTGAGCAATAATTTTTTTTATAAACGATTAAAAAAATTCAAATTAAGATAACAAATTTAATGGTTCACCAATTTTTATTTTTATTTTTATTCATTATATGCTCAGTGTCATTAGAACTAAGAACTTTGCACATATGTAAAAATGGTGAGAATCACTCAGAAACTGAATTTGGCATCTTGTCTCAAAGTTGAAAATCCTGTTCATACAGAAAAATGAAGGTAAACTTCTCAACAATAAATATAGTAGTTCGAATTGATGTCATATCTTGTAAGTTTTAATAGATATTGCTTGGCATTCATACTCGAACACTGTATGTGAAAGTTGTAGGTCAATGTGTTGAAATGAAGTCAAGAAAAGATAACCCTAAAAAAACAAAATATAAGGATAAGGATGATGAGTTGGGGGGGGTATATATAAGTGTACTTTATATATAAAGCCCTCATCGTGTCCCCATTCAGCAAAAAACAAACCTAGAGAGACAAAGAAAATAGTTTGAAATCTGTGAATAACTCTGCCAATAAAATTTGTCAAGTTCTGCCACCTGTGGCTGATTTACATGTTGACCAATTTTGTTCTAACTTCACATGCTTAATGAAGAGTAAGCATTCTCCAAGAAGCCACAACAAAATTTGATGAAAAACAAAGATGAAAACAAAAAAATTGATGGACATAAGAAATAATGCCATTAGGCATTGTATTTATGATATATAATGAAGTGCAGCAAAATAACATTTTTACTCATTATTTGTGTAAAATTTTGCCCTCCAGGTGGCAATCGGCAATCCTAGAAGGCACCAGCTGCATACCCACTTTGTGGACCCTCCTTACTACTACTATTCTTCTTTGTGCGTCGAACAGGTGCTTGCATCTCTCTATCACTACATTATCCATGCATTATTCATCCACTAAATGGGTGGTAATGTTATTGGGGTGGGACCCCTTCCGCTCCCTTGAGCTATCCGGGCTGATATGAATGTATTAAACCCTGGCATCAGTCAAAGCAAATAGAGTTCTTAGGCCTACCGGGGACCACGAGCCAGAACCTCCCCCTCCCCCAGAGAGGCATGAGGAGCAATGGCATATAGAAATTCTATTCTATGTTCTTGAATAGAAGCATTCTATGTCTGCCATCAACTGTGTCAGGCACCCAGAAAGGTAGGCACCCCAAAACAGTCTGGTTAAAATATCGTTACTGAAAGCCGAACTGCTGGACAGAACTTCCCCAAACGAAAAAGAGCAAATGAGCATGACGTGACAACCGGGATCCGGGATCGAACCCGGGACCACAGGATCACAAGTCCAGCGTGCTGTCCGCTCGGCCGACCGGCTCCCTTTGGTGGGGGCAGATTCCATACACAGTTTCAAATGTAGATTGATAAAGCCCAATAGACTCGGAAATCTGTACACCAGTTGATTGACGGTTGAGAGGCGGGACCAAAGAGTTGAACCTCAACCACTGCAAGCACAACTAGGTGGGTACAGTTTGAGGGGGGGGGTGAGGCATCTACTCTATGTAAACTTTTATACAAACTCATTATATACTAATTATCTGCGTTATCCAAAAGGAATCTGAACCGGGCTTGTGTGACTGAAGAGTGGAAGATATAAAATGTTCACTAATGTGAGAATCTATAAATAACATGCCAACCCAAATCGGGAACTGGCATTTTCGAATAAATGGCGTTTGTGCACGTGACTGTATTCGTACAACACATTAGGGAAGTTAGTAGTTACATAGTAAAATAATTGTATATTATACAAGTCCAGTTGTTACTTTTTGGTAATGAACTAACACTCCTTTATTGTTTTTTCAGAGCGATGACGTCAAGCCTAAGACTCCTAATATTAAAGACAATCCCGGGAGTGACCGACATACTTACCGCCTTATTAGTGTGATCAGTCACTTTGGTCTTACAACAAACACAGGTGAGCAACAAATGAAATATTGAGAAATGGTTGCTAAAGTTCTTACATATTGTGTATATTACATAGCTGTTTTGTACAATTAACACTATCACGCACCCCACGAGAGCGCCGCAAACTTTGACGTCATGGAGCCAATGGTGCGGGCGAGCATGTGGCGACGCCTAAATGTGTATGCTCGTTTCAGGTTTCTCACCTTAATTCTCGTGCTACGTTGTTCGTTTTGGTATCATTGTGTTCGCAATTAAATTCCCTGCAGATGTACAGTGGTACCTCGGAATGCGAGTGTCCCTGTATGCGAGTTTTTTGGAAGACGAGCAGGATTTACTCCAAAAATATGTCTCGGAAGGCGAGGGTTACCTCGGGACACGAGTTTGTTGATACGTGTACAGGCCGACTGGCGCGTGGTGGCATGGCGATCGCGCCTCAGTTTACCAGTGTCTCGTGTCCAGTGACTATCCCACCTGAATTCTTCACAAGGATTTACAGTTTTTTATGTTTTTTTTTTGGCTATTTGAGCATAAAAGTTGTCATTATATATCTTGCCATGGGTCTCAAGAAAGCCATTGGTAAGGTTCAACCTAAGAAAATAGCTGTGAGTAGAGGCAGTAGAGGATGTCCCTTCTTGATTAAGAAAATGTGTGAAGTATGGGAAGAACTGCAAAGTTTTGTTGAAAAAACTCACCCAGATAAAGCTGTAGCAGGCCGTTGCATTGACCTTTTAAATGATAATGTGATGTCTTACTACAGACAAGTGTTAAAATGTAGGGAAAAACAAGTGTCATTAGACAAATTCTTAGTAAAACAAGCAAGTCCTAGTGGTATGCAGGCAAAATGTGCCAGAGTGTGCATACCAGTGAAGTCCTCACTGCCTGATGTGATAATGGAAGGGGACTCCCCTTCCAAACAGTAACTCCTCTCTTCCTCCCACCTCCTCACCATCTTCCATACGCCTACAGCATTCAACAGCAAGGTAAGTAATAACTTGAACATAGTTTTGTAGGTTTATTTAGATGAATTAGGTATAAAAATTTAGTTTGATGTGGGGTTTTTGGGGTAGTCAGGAACGGATTAATTCATTTCCCTTTATTTCTTATGGGGAAATTAGCTTCGGAATGCGAGTTTTCGGAATACGAGGCGTCTCCAGGAACCAATTAAACTCTTAAAATGAGGTATGCCTGTATATGCATATAATGTCTAAAAGCCTGGCAAGACTCTCCACAGCAAAGCCTAAAGTCGGAAAAGTTACCCGTGAGCGCACAAAATCAGTAAAATGTTTATACTCGTTTCAGTTTTCTCACCTTAATTCTCGTGCTACATCGCTCGTTTTGGTATCATTGTGTTCGCAAATGAATTCCCTACAGGTGTATATGAACATAATATACAAAAGCCTTGCGTGCTTCCCTGCAGGAAAGCCTAAAGTTACCCGTAAACGAGCACCAATTTGTACACTGCAACCTAATGTGTATACTCGTTCAGTTTGATAATATCAATTTTCGTGTTACGTCTTTCATTTTGGTATCAAATTGTTCGCAATAAAAATTCACGTATTTTAAAACTAGTCATAAAAATAGAGCTATAACTGGAATTTTAACAAATATTTTAATTCTGGAAGCTCATCATCATAATTATTTATATCTTTCCAGTGTTCTGACATAAATTTGTGTGTTACATCTTTCATTTTGGTATCAAATTGTTCGCGACGTAAAGACGCGCATGTTAAAACTAGTCCCAACATAATAGCACAATAAATAGAATTTTAACAAATATTTTAAAATTTTTACCAAAAACCTATTTATAATCACATAAGTGTTCGGACATCAAGTTTCATGTTACATCTTTCATTTTGGTATCTAATTGTGCGCATTCTAAAGGCGCTTAATTTGAAACTATCCCGAGGTCGATCGGATAAAAAATGAATTTTATATAAATATTTTTGTAGTGGACACGAGTCCTGTCCAAAGTCAGCGAGAGTGTTAATCTTGCTTATAAACTAATATAAAAATTGTTTCGTTCAATTGTGCAAGTGATTTGATGTACATTATCGGCTAGCTCATTCATTTAGTTCTTTATAAATTATTACAAAGTGATGGAGTAACAAGATTTGATTGTATTGCAGGGCATTATGTTTCTGATGTATATAACTGTAATGAAGATAATTGGTTCCACTATGATGACGAGAGCGTTGCAAAAATCCCGGAATCAGTGGTGTGTGCGGAGGGACGGCAGAAGAACGGCTACATCTTCTTCTACATGCATCAGTAAGAAAGAAATTACATGTTTTTTTTTTTTTTTTGTTATGATGTTTCAAACTGGTTAACGTCATTAAACCATAAAAGGGCTGCCATCAGAGGAATAAACATATCTTTCTCACTACTCCGTCTTTTTGGGCTACGTTCTCAAAGAAAACCAGAGTAAGTTCCTAATAATTCAGATCGCCTACTAATTTATTTATTTATAATTATATATATTTATATTTTTATATTCATATTTATATGTATATTTATATATGTGTTTTGTCATTTTATTTTATTTAAAACTTCATTACACAAATAGGGATACAACATTGGTTACATGCAAGGTACAAGGCTACTTGTTACAGGCTGTAGAGTTCCTCCAGCTCCTCAGATGGCAGGCCAGAAATATGAATGCCGTGTGCATTTCCTTTCTGTATCGCCACACTAAGGCACTGAAAGAGGAAACTGGCAGCTCTAGGATCTCTACTTATTTCAATTAGCTTAGCTCCCTACACTGTGCACCTGTTTTTTGCAAAAACTTCATAGTGCAATTTTTAAGGACATATTTTTGTTGTTTTTATAAATGTTCAGGTAAAATTAATGTCAAAATGTTTCTAAACTTGACTATTTTCATTTCAAAACACAAAGAGTGATGAAAACATTAAAAAACATTCAAATATAGCCTAAATAAAGTAAAAAAAAAAAAAAAAAAAGGCAACTCTCAAAACGACATTTGTTTGGCACAGTGCAGTGGTTAGAATCCAGCTCCTTCCAAAAACTAGCAGCATTTTTACCCAGGCAGGGGCCCTGACACCTAAGTGGACAGCGCTTCGGATTTGTAGTCCTGAGGTTCCGGGTTTGATCCCCGGTGGAGGCGGAAACAAATGGGCAGAGTTTCCTTCACCCTGATGCACCTGTTACCTAGCAGTAAATAGGTACCTGGTAGTTAGACAGCTGCTACGAGCTGCTTCCTTGGGGTGTGTAACAAAAAGGAGGTCTGGTCAAAGACCAGGCCGCGGGGATGCCAAGCCCCAAAATCCTCTCGATCCTCTCAAGAAAACCTCAAAAGGCATCAAGTGTGTCTGAGGTAATGTAGCCAAAATTGTAATGGTGATGAAAGATCTCCGTATTTATGAGATTTGGCTGCTTCCCGGTGAATGGCAGCACTGCCTGTATGTGCATCACTGAACTCAACATATATAAAAGAGCAAAACTGGTTAGGGAGGAGGGAGATAGCCATTACTGCCAGTCAGCTCATCCTTGAGGCTACACCAAACCTGTGCTAGACACATGCCTCCCCAACACCATTTTGTCATCCTTCAACCACTCCTTGGATTCAATGGGTAAAACACTACAATTATTTACAATGATTAGGTAAATCATGGTTAATAATGCAGCCACCTCCTAATGCTTGGCCTTTGCAACGGCTTGGATGAAATATTATCACTTAATTGAACATTTGCATGCTCCACTGAACAATTTATACTATGCAATTTATTTGGACCATCCAGGAATTTGTTAGTGAAGATACGCTGTAATTATATGCAATGTAAAGCCTAGCTGTTAGCTATTTCTGCAATGTGAATATACAATTTAAGTTATGAATGTACAGTGCACAGCTTATAGTGTACATTCTTTGACTCGCAAGTCCTGGGTCTCCTCACTGACAAGACTAAGTTGTTGCACTCATCATGTGTCTTGGTCTTTGTGTGTGTGTGTGTGTGTGCAGTGTTTCCATCAACCTTGTGTTGCTGACAAAATATTTGTGCGTTATAATGTCCAGCAGATCTAGCTTTATCCTTAAGTAAGATTTGTGTGCCTATTAATTTTTGTTTTCTCATTTTCAGGGACCTCTTTCTCAAGATGGAAAAGAAAACCGTTGTTGACAGATAATAGATCTATTTTCTGTATTAAAGTGTATATATATATACATATATAGAACTGTACAGTGTGTTATTAATGGACTAGAATTTGTTTGAAATCTGAATGTTAATTATACCTTGCATTGCACTTATTAAAACACTTACCTGCAGATATTGTACTATGCCATACAGAAAACAATCCTTATGGTATCAATATAATCTTTTTTTTTTTTTTTAATTGTATGTGTAGCTTGCTACGAAGCATTGATCTCGGTGTTAGTTTATAGGATACATGCATGTTAATGCAATATGTCAGGAAAGTCTGTCAGTGGAATGTTTGAATTAATTTGGCCTAAAATGTATATTGTATACAGTATTTGTATATTTATATATACTGTGTGAATTTTTAATAGCTGCAATTTTTATTTTGTTTTGTATTACATTAAGTATTGTTGCACATGTACTTACAACAATTATAATATAAATTTTTTTTATTTAGAATTTTGCTTATTTTTATCACCAGTTAACTTTTGTATGACATAGCCGAACACGGTACTGAAATTCACACTTTTGGGCTTAAAAATTTAGACATTGCGGTAAAGTATAATAATATTCTGGTGTCATCACTTCAGTAGTATAAGAATTATATAAAATATTTGATCAGCATGAAGACATTTGAATTCAAGCGTTTAGATTTAGGTAAAATAGGTATTTACCTGGAGCGTGCAAATGATAAGAGCTATTGTACTGTACTGGTACCAAACACAACAGTACTTTTAGTAACAAATTCCTGGCCGACCTCTCATCTCAACCTGTTTGCATGGTTATTTTCTTGCAAATCAAGGTTTATAAAAATTTTGCCATACATAATTCTTGAATAATCCTAATATCATCTTGAAATTATAATGTGGTGGTGCTAAAATCATCAGTGTTCAGGTGGTTTTCTTTGCTAATTTTACTGCATTTTAATATGAACTAGTCATTGATAATTATAACTTAACCAGAATAAATAGCTCTCAATACTAAAATGTTGGTTAAGACAGTTACAAAATTCTACCATTCTTTGAAGTCTGTAATTAAATGTAATGAAGTATTAGGTTTTCTTTTTTATCCTGTTGTAAATTATAATAAATTTTTATCCTGTTATAAATTAAATTAAATAAAGATATGACAAGTAGAACATTATCGACTCCATCATGTGGATACTTTGTTAATCCTAAGGATGAGTATAGTTTTCAAAGCCTGCCTATGGATCAGACTTAGGTATGAATGTTAAATGTGTAATAGGAAGGCTTCAGAAATGGTGATGCAACAGGCAGGGTTCACTTGGCATCCCATAATGGGGTGTATAGGAAGTATGCCATTATCTATAGTCACCAAGCTGGGAAAAATGGTACAGTATGTGCTGAACAGTTTTTCTTGTGTGGTATGCATGAGAAAAAATAAGCTAAATAAATTTTGATAATTACTATCTAGAAATTACATGTGTAGAAAATTGCTACTTAACCCTTGTGTTGCTAAGGGCTATTTAGCCATTGTCACCCACAGGCGCATAAAAAAAATATATATATATATACAGTATATATATATATTTATATATATATATATATATATATTTTTAAATAATATGGAAGGGAGTACCACCTCTAGCTGGAAGAAGGGGGACCCATAGCCTCGGAGGAGGCTATATATATATATATATATATATATATATATATATATATATATATATATATATATATATATATATATATATATATATATATATATTTTTTTTCTTCTAAACCTGTCAATTTGTGTTCTCCGATCATTGGGAAAAAAAATTGTAAGTGGCATATTTTGCCTGCAATAGGGCAGGGAAGTGTGGCAAAAAAAAAAAAAAAAAAAAGGTGCTGACTCAGCGTGCGTCCCAGGTGGTCTGCTCCGCCCCAGCGGTCAGGCAGGAGTGGCCACAAAGAGAGAATTGCCTAATTATTTCAATATGTCTGATTTTTCTTTATTTTTTTTGCTGTAATATTATTCAATAGTATGTAGTGTGATATATTTATATAATAAAATGTGTGAATCATCGCTGTACTCAAAATTATGATGTGCATATTGTCGATTCAATTATTAGGTTCATAAAACAGTGAACAAATACTTTGTTGGTTATTACACTATATACACAGGTTATATACAAGTATCTGCATGTTTTGTTCACCATAACAAACCACTAAGTTGGTATTATGAGTCAAAAAGCAACGAGGAGTGACCGCCACACACCAGCCAGCTACTTGCTGCCACTCACTCCCTCAACACCACACTCGCCCACATTCTCCTCCCACCATACTGTTTTTGTTTTTATTCATTATATACAGACGTTATATATAAGTATCTACATGTTTTGTTCACCACAACTGTACAACTAAGCTAATATAGTTAGTTCAGGCACTAAGAGATGTCACTACACTCACAGTCAGCTGGCGGCTGCCTCCCTCTTACATTCAAGGTCAGACGCACTAAAATTTCTCCCCCAACAATACTGTTTGTGGTGTTATTACCATAAATACACATTCTATATATAGGTATTTACATGTTTTGTTCACCATAACTATTCAACTAAGCTGGTATAGTGCCCAAAAGAGCATAGTGGCCACCACCTACCAACATGACACATCATGCAGATGTCGCCACCTCCCTCACCAAAATGGCTTTTTTTACCACACTCCTTTTGCTGTTATTACACCGCATATACATGTTATATACAAGGGTCTAAGTTAACGAACCACTAAGTTGGTATGCTGAGTGGCAGTGGCAGCCTGCCACTGGCTGTCACTTCCTCCCTCCCTCACCTCACCTGACTCGCCACCATTCTCCTCCCATCATACTGTTTTAGGGTTTTATCCTCTATATACAGATGTTATATATAAGTATCTGCATGTTTTGTTCACCATACGAACAACTAAGCTGTATAGTGAGTCCAGACAGTAAAAAGGTGGTCACACACAGTCAGCAGACAATGCTACCTCCTTCCCCACCAAGATTACTCCTCCCACTAGTGCTAATTATCACAACAATCCTGCTATTATCAGAATCCTTGATAAATCCATCGCGTCATATGACATGGTACACAATTTATTGCAAGTTACTCAACCCTTCATATGATGTGTTGCGCAGTTTAAGGGTTAATGTGGTTTGTTTTAGCCTGATGGATGTGGTAGCCCAGTTGCTCGCTGGGTTCACCAGGTGCCGAGTGACGCAGTAACCCTCTAATTATTTTAATTGCTTCAGTTAACTGGTTTTTGTCCTTGTATGCTGTATTAGTGTGTTGTGGTTTTTATCGTGTACTTTTTATATATATGAATGTACAGATAATCGTGTATATTGTATATTTTGCTATAACACTAATTATACAAGTGGCTTTAAAATACTTGACAAAATTAAATTTCTGGTGTGATATTCTGTGAAAGAAAATAGTAAACCACCACCCTCTACGCATGTCATGACCAATTTGCATTTCTGTTCAGTTATGCTATGTGGTCTTGCAGACAATATATAATCAGAAGAACTATGCCTGCTGCTGAAATTACTTTTTACAAAAGCCCCCCTCCCCGTTCAGCTCGTTGATGCCGTGAGGGGGGCTTAGTGGGCGGCTGTCGGAGTGTGATGCTCCTTGGGACAGTTCTCTGTCCTTTTGTAGCCTTGTGCTCCTGCTGCTGTCCTCTAATTGTGCTGAACAACTTTTCCTTTTCCTTCTGTTTCGTTTTTCTCTCCCCCTCTTCTCCTATCTGCTTCTCGTTTCCTGCAGACCTTTTACTTGTTTTGGTTATTCCTTTGGACTTCTTCTATTTTGACGCCCGGGTGCTTGAGGAGGCATACTCTTGCACCCGTAGAACTGTAGTACCCAACATCGAGAGTGAGGGGAACCTTTTATTGTCAATCCTCCTTTCGTCACTGAACCCGATTTCGACGGACTGACGGTTCTTAAGGTGGCATTTATGGGGCGTATGCTCACAACACTTCCCTAGGAGGTCCCGGCATGATCGGTGATAGCTTCTTGTTGGGTGTCCTGCCTCTAATTGTGGCTCAGCAGACTTTCGACCAATTCGGTGACCAAAGTTTTGAGCATTGGCCAGAGAGCGTCCAGTTCTGTGGGAGCACTATTTAATGCTGTGCAGGTTTGGGGCCTAGTTACTTTTTGACCCTTCTCAGTGGTAACTTTGACACTGGAATTGTTACTCTTATGTGTTACTCTTACCCAGTGTGCTTACTGGATGCATTGGGAGGGCAACTGCTTTGAACATGTTTCTTGTGGCCCCCCATCTATCTTTTTGTCCTGTACGGAGGCCTTCACACCCTTCACCATGGCCAATGGTGAACGGCCGTGTGCCCCCCTCTACCTGAATGGGAAGACCCCACGCAGTTTTAGTGGGCAGGGGAGCTGGCATTAGTTTTGGTGGGGGCTTCGGCTCTGATGTAGGCGTGGTGGGGTTCGTTTGAAGCCTTTTGAGCCTTTCAGGGCATTTAAAGTTCCAGGCATGATGTGCCTTGGAGCAATTTGGGCACTTTGCTTGGACAGGGTGGTTTGCCTTGTGTTTATCAATGCATATTTTAGTCTCGTGGGGCTGGCTGCAGACTACGCACCTCACTGGGCGTTGGCAGCCATCTTTGCGATGCCCAAATCTCTGACATCTAAAGCATCTTAGGGGCTCTGGGGTGTAAGGCCTGTGTTGGAACACACCTCAGATTCCAAGATCAAGGTTCTCCGGGATCCGTCCCCTTACTGTGAGAAGGACTTGTCGGATTTCCTGTTTTGTGGTTCTTACCCGGCATCTCTCTGCTGACACTACATAGTTCAGCTTTTCAAAATGGTCAAGGGATAGTGGAGGACAATGATTTTTCGTATTTTATCCTCTGGTTTGAGTTCTTCACATTTTGTGTAATTTTTCAGAATTGTAGCGACCGACTCGTCTTTGGGCCTCAGAATATATTCTCCTCTGAGATTTGGTTTTGCTCTGATCTGGAGCTGGGGGTACTCTTTTTCGAGGTCCACCACAGTGGCGTAGGAAGCCACTGGTATGCTTTGGTATGCTGGACCTTGAAGATTGGTAGTGCAGGTTTAGTCTGAGGAGCTGGAGAAGCTGGAGTGTTTGTCGGACGATGGGTCGTCATGGAGTGGCTTGTCCTGTTTGCCTTAGTCACAAAATTCCACTCGCCGTCACTTTCAGAACTTGTATCGAGTATAGATTTTCTTTTCCTACACTGAGCAGCATTGCTGGCTCTATTACAATTCAATTGGTATTCCATGATTTAATTCAAATGCTCACTGTAGAGTGGTGTCTGGTGAGTGAAGGTTATGCTCTGTGCTAATGGAGACAAAGTCAGCGTGGAGTTGGCTCACTGGGTGAACTGTGGGCAGGACCCAAAAATTAATGAAGATTAAACCACCCAAAAGGTGGCACGGGCATGAATAGCCCATAAGTGATGGCCCTTTGGAGCCATTACCAGTATCAAGAGCTGATACGGGAGATTTGTGGAGGTGCAACTGCACCCTGCGTGACGGGAGATGTCTCCCGTGTCAGGACCTCTCTTCTATTTCCTTATATATGCTGCCCTGTACTGCCCGCACAGCGCCTGCAGAACGCGCTGTGCAAGTGTGTGTGTGTGTGTGTGTTTTTTGTTTTTTTTGTTTTTTTTTTTTTATATATACAAGAGTTGTTACATTCTTGTACAGCCACTAGTACGCGTAGCGTTTCGGGCAGGTCCCTGGAATACGATCCCCTGCCGCGAAGAATCGTTTTTTCATCCAAGTACACATTTTACTGTTGCATTAAACAGAGGCTACAGTTAAGGAATTACGCCCAGTAAATCCTCCCCGTCCAGGATACGAACCCATGACATAGCGCTCGCGGAACGCCAGGCAAGTGTCTTACCACTACACCACAGACTGTAGACTTTTTTTTCCCCATCAGAAATTCCTTCGCTTTTCCATGTAAAGCAGTGGCCATTTGTTTGAAAAAAGCAAGACATAGGCTGACATTTAGGAGGTAAAGTAGGTTACATGAAGTTTATTAGGTTGTACTTAGTATTTCTCTTAAACTGGTTGAGAGGTACAGCCTTTAACATGACTGGGAAGGTCATTCCTCTAATTAGGTCCCTTGATTTGCAGAGCATTTCTAGTTTGGTTAAGTCGCACTCTTGGAATA